AAAAGAACTTCATAGAGTATGTAGCTAGGATAGCAGTCCACTTGCCTCTGATACATTTTCGTTATCTCAAGTCAGTAAATTGTTAATTAATCAACGTATATACGTTTGTACATCTAGTAGGGATGATAATAGCAATATAATCCGTAAGTTCATGATTTGTTGCACGCACCGGTCACAGGTATGCCAAAGTATATAAACCAAACATTCGCTCTAAAGTAAGTAGAAGCTTCTAGGAAATATTTTAAAATGTCCCCAAACTGTAAGAACGGTCTATGTGCGTTAACGCACTCTCCCGATCATGTTCCAAATGTGTTCAGAAGGGGGAATATCTGGGCGTGTCGCCCTCGTGACATTCTTAGGCTGCTGGAGGTGGGCATTGCGCAAAACATCATGCTTGTACATCATTTCTGATCATTTGACAATGAACTCGTATTTCAATTTTGAATCCATAGCATTCGCCTTTTGAGCTCTATTTCTAGTGACTTTTGACGCCATGAACGGAATCGAAGGACCATATTCTGAATTTCTTGGTACACGTTAGAGTCTGCTGATGACATACTGACACACAGTGTACTGTACGCTGACAGTTTGAAACATTACACAGCCCGTGTACGAGTGCACACGATAGTTAAATAGATAGTTTATGAAGAAACAATGAATGAAATGAAATATAGCATAGTGCTATGATAAACAGATTAAATAATTGGACCACAGACATAAGTCGATCTTCCTTGAAAGTGTCAAAATAGAGAATAGAACCTTAGGTCAGTGTTTGGCGCTACTATTTGCGGCACGTGCAAACGATCGGATTTGGTTTTGTGTCATGTTTCACTTGTTCCATATGATGTTTGTCTTCAACACATGTCTTTGTTCTAATTAGGGCTGTCTGTCTATATACATCGATAATCGTTAACTAAATGTCTATATTGGAGAAGTAGCATTGAGCAAAAAAACCCAACCAAATGTCAGAAACAAAACAACATGCTTTACATCACTGGTGAGCACATACATTTATCCATGGATGCCACAACATGGTACAAGAACATTTGTAAGCTGTCAACCATTAAAGATATTACATTGTGCATTGTGTACATAGATTAAAATGCATTTCGTCTTTATAGCTTGTTTACGATATTTTCGTTCACAAAAGTTTCATAGCCACAATATTTCTTCCCATTGGCTATATTTCCTATTAATTATGTTTTACAGCTGGTAAGGCTCATCATCAGCTCAGGGCCCTTGCACCCTCTACACGCAGCCCAGACAGCGAATGGGACTTCTCCCAGGAAACGGTGTCTAGTCGAACCCACCAAGAACTTTCCGGAGAATATGAAGGCTCCCCAACACTGCAGCCTTCTGCATTACCCAGAGTGTCAGAAGGGCTGTACTCTCCTGATCTGCGCCAAGAGATCAGGAGGTACCAAACCAAGGGCACCGAGAACAATGGGGAGCCTGACGACAGTGTACTTGGGATGCAAGCGAGACATTTCAAAGGCGAGGTCCACATATTTATCATGCTTTTCCTTAATTTTGCCAGTCACATTGGTGTCAAAAGGGACAGAAAATTCAATGACATAAATAAATTCATTGGCTTTATCAAAAAGGACAAGATCAGGTTTGTTGGCTGGAATTCTTCTGAGGCTGTATATGGGCCCATTCCACAGAAGTTTGAAAGCATCATTTCCCATGACGCCCTGGACATGTTCAGGGTCGTACCATGGATGGACCTCGGGGTCAAAGCTACAAGCATGTCGGAGACGGGAGTAAAAGCAACGAGCCGTGCCATCATGTCTTTAAAGATATGCTGTTTGTGCCAAGGAAGGGCATCCACTGACAAGGTGTTGGACAGTCTCCGTGAATGCATTGCAAAGTCGACATTTCATATTGATATTTTGTTTAAGAATCACATTCAGGCGATTGCGAGTGGGAAGTGACTGGTCCTGAGCAGCTAAAAAGAAGCCCTCAGTTTCATATTTAAGACCAGCCGACTTCATCCAGGCGAAGGAGTCGGTGGGATTGCTATTCTATTCAACACACTGCATGTACACACGATGCAATGGCTTCTCAGAAGGCTTCTCCACAAAAGACCAACTCTGGGCAGACTTGGTGAAGGACTTCACCTGGTCTACGCCGATTGCTGTACCGTCCAGCAGTACATCGCCATCAACAAAATCTACCTCATATTTCAGATTCTGTCCAACAACCTTGGCACGCTTAAGATAGCTGTGGAATTGCTTGCTTTCATCTTGAGTCTTCACATGCATCACCAGAGGATCATTTGATAAATAAATATGTGCAAAAGTACACAATAAAATTTTATCATGAAGAGCCTCCACATTAATCAAACCCCGACCTCCAGAATTGATTGGCATGTATAAACGGTTAAGAGAGGAACGAGGGTGGTGGGCTCTGTTATCAGACATGATCCTTCTCGTCAGACGGTCAAGACTCTGGATGTCTTGTTTTGTCCAGTCAACTACTCCAAAGGAATAGGAGAGGACTGGCACAGCAAAAGTATTTGTGGCTTTGACCTTGTTTCGAGCATTTAGCTCTGAGCTCCAGATTTTCATTAAACGAGATTTGTACTCGGCCCGAAGTTTGTCTTGAATCTGGGCATTCTGGAGCTTGTCTCGAACTTGCATTCCGAGATAGGTGTAGGCCTGATCTTCCACAAGATGCTCAATAACTCCTCCCCCTTGTAACTTGACCGAGCCATCATTAGTTACCTTGCCACGTTTCAAATGAAGAGTATTACATTTGTCGAGTCCAAATGTCATGCCAATATCATTAGAAAAGGACTCGACAAGGAGAACCTGTTCTTTCAAATTGGTATCTCCTTTGGCAAGGAGCTCGATATCATCCATGTAAAGGAGATGAGGACGAGGTGTTGGGGATCTTTGCTGAGGAGGTCCGGGATGGTCCCCCCTCCTCTTTATTGAGCAGAAAGCTCAAAGGATTTAAAGACAAACAAAAAAGCAAAGGACTAAAGGAATCCCCCTGAAATATTCCCCTTCTGATTGAAATAGATTCCGAAGTTTGCACCTGCCCTTGCGAGTACATGAATATGAATATTAATATGTCTATTTCAAGACACACACACACACACACACACACACACACACACACACACACACACACACACACACACACACACACACACATACATACATACATACATTCATACGTGTTTGTACAACAAGCATGCATGCATTCATCAAATTTGAGCTTTGTAGCATGATAAATAATTTTGGGTAAATTTGTCATTATTATTTCACATCAGATTCCCGATTTATATTTTTCTATATTTTTACAGAGTGTAGAAAGATGGTGGCTGTCCATGCGACAAGGTGGAGGTCATTTTTGGATAAATCTCTTCAAGGACATGGAATCGCAGGGTATAGTGGCAACAGACAACACGTTTCACATGTATGTTTATATATATATTTGTATTTTCATATAACTTACGTATTAAAAAGTATGTTATTAATATAAAAGTAATATTGTATATAATAACTAAACAGTTAGCTACTCGTGTGTAAAATTCAGTTAAGTAAAGTGTTCAGTTGTTACTTTCACTTTTAATGCTCAAAGAAATGAAGTAAACGTGATACATATCAGTGAAGTGAACCACTTATCACGTCACAGTGTGGATAATGTTTTATGATGAAACTGTAATTTTACGGCCACTGGTCCATTATGAAAAATTGCAGAATGTAGAGGTTAAATTGTCTCGTGGTATTACTGGGTTACAAGGCAGTAGTTTGCACTTAAGACCAAATTACATATGTTTTAATGACTGTATTCGAAGTGCCTGTTAATTAACTTACTGTTACCAACCAATTAAATTATGATATTGTGTAATCAATGGGCTGAAAGTGTCGAATGAATGGTAGGAGGCAGTGTGTAAAAATGCTTCACATGTATGTTTATATAAATATTTGTATTTTCATATAACTTACGTATTAAAAAGTATGTTAATAATATAAAAGTAATATTGTATATAATAACTAAACAGTTAGCTACTCGTGTGTAAAATTCAGTTAAGTAAAGTGTTCAGTTGTTACTTTCACTTTTAATGCTCAAAGAAATGAAGTAAACGTGATACATATCAGTGAAGTGAACCACCTATCACGTCACAGTGTGGATAATGTTTTATGATGAAACTGTAATTTTACGGCCACTGGTCCATTATGAAAAATTGCAGAATGTAGAGGTTAAATTGTCTCGTGGTATTACTGGGTTACAAGGCAGTAGTTTGCGCTTAAGACCAAATTGTAATCAATCAAGTAAACGTCAATTTCACGCAAAGTTGATGCATATGTGCATTTCCATGTGAATCACACTGCTTATCTCATGCAGATGTAAAACAAATATACACTTGCGCTCTTCGCTGCGCAACTACTAAAATATGAGAGAAGGCATAATATATCCTCTTTCCTTTGACGGGGAATGCCTCAGGTTCTGTTTCACTGAGCTTATTCAATGTGAACTGGACAAAATTGCAACAGAGTGGAATCAACACACAGTAAGACGCACAATGGAAAACTCAAGCGGAAAGCCTGATATTCTGTATTTTCTGCCGGCGATACATGGTATGTATATTAGTGTTAGTTTTCACGCTTTTTAATAGGTATAAGAGTTTTGTTTTGTCATCATAGGTTTTCTAAAGTGTATGCAACTTGTTTAAAAGTTCAGTGCATGCACATTACAAGTATGTGTTACGTTAGCATCAAATATATAGTTTGAATGAAGAAAATATATAGGAATCGAGTCCGAAGGTTGGCAGAGAAAACACTAGTACAATGTATTAGGTCGTATTAGTTCCGATGTTCATATAGCTTGGTCAGCACTATATAAAGATAAATACTCCAATAAATCCACACATTGAAAGTCAGTTCTTTAATGCTTTGGCAGTCATGTTTGCTAATGAACATATACCTCTCTGCAGGTAATTCTAAGCAATTGCATAATTGAATGAGTGTGTAACCGAATAAGATACGTGTTGCAATATTAATGACATTGTCTATTGAATGCCATTTTGAAAAACAGGAACTGTAGATTACAAGACAGAAGCAGATCCACCAGATATTCATTCATTGAAAATGATGTGCAGAGCGTCTCGTCCTTCTGGGTGTGAAGCAGACTTTGAGGGTGCGTGTGAAACGCTTCTTCAACGCAACGGCAAGACAAAGCCCAGTGAACAACGGGAAGCCATGGACCTATTTGCATGGCTCGTCACCATGCTCGAATGAATGTTAAAACGTTCGCAGTTTCTGAATAAAGCTGTTCTTGTCCAGGAGTGGTTTTGTATGGGTTGACCTTTAGAGAATATCCAACACACGTGTGATCCTTTATAGCATGCTAATTATATGCATGAAATAGTTGTATCGTGAAATAACGGATATTTTATTTTTGAAGTTACTAATGGGATTACATATGTTTTAATGACTGTATTCGAAGTGCCTGTTAGTTAACTTACTGTTACCAACCAATTAAATTATGATATTGTGTAATCAATGCGCTGAAAGTGTCGAATGAATGGTAGGAGGCAGTGTGTAAAAATGCTTATCTTTTCATGGTCACTTCCATCATAGGTGGCTAGCACTAAAACAGTCTGATACTGTATAATCAATCACTTACATACACCATATCACACTCAATAACTTCATCCAATCTCACAAAGTTGCATGCATCATCCTATCCAGTACCATCACCACACCTTGCACTTCCCGTATTATCAACATAATAATATAAAAGTTGTCTGATCATGATTTCTAGTCATTTGGATTTATCTTTCATGTCACATGATACAGTAGCTAATAAATGAACAGCAAAAGAAATGCAAATGTAACTCGGTTGTCAAAGTTTGAAATAATACGTGTAACCGAAAGACTCAATTGCCATACACATTTTTATGCCCAGCAGAAAGGAGGTAACTCTAAGGGTGAGAGCTGCGATGGATGAAATGAAGTTCACATTTTTGTGTGTTTACAAATTTTGTAAGCATAATTTCATGCAGTAAGCAACATCTGTATATGTTACAGTTATATAATATACTTATATTTAAGTCTGAAACTGTGCAGTTATATCAAGGTAAGGAAAAAGGCTTTGCCTAAAACGGTGTTACCTGTGTTTCTTTTGACTGTTATTTGTGAACAGTATCCCCATGTTTGCTTGGTTTTGGACGAATATGAATTTGTGTTGGTGTTTGGGATGTTTTTATTCTTGCAGAAACAATGTAAGAACCTGTCATGAAGTTATTAATATTTTTTTTCAAACTTAAACACGTGCCATTACATGAGCATGGGTAATGTCTGTTTGTCCCAACTAAAGCCTAAGGAAATGTATTTTATCCAAATCCGAGTATACTTTGTTGTGCTTGGTAAGATTCATTCTGTAACTTAGGGAATATTTCTGGGTGGTAAATACAGTGAAATTAGTAGGAAATCTTTCATGTTTTAGCTTGGACTCACCACTACGACGAAGACCACAACAAGCATAAGAAGCAGCACTGCGGTGTATGATCATTATGATAAACAAAGAGTAAAAAAAAAGTAGTGTTCCTTGAGAGCCCTACTGACCGACTGACTGACTGAGTTTAGTTTTACGCCGCTTTTAGCAATATTCCAGCAATATCACGGCGGGGGACACCAGAAATGGGCTTAACACATTGTGCCCATGTGGGGAATCGAACCCGGGCCTTCGGCGTGACGAGCCAACGCTTTAACGACTAGGCTACCCCACCGCCCCTTTGAGAGCCCTAACTGTTAAGAATGTATATGTTGAGCCTGGAGGACCATCAACACCCGCCTGTATCTCACTGTACGTTGTTGATGTGCAAAAACTGAAGCTGAAGCCGTACAACAAACCACAGAGACGTGGTCTGATTCTGCTCCGCTTCACCCCTACAGTACTTGATGGCCTTTCGAGTCACTAGTGGAATACATAGTGCAGCCAAACATTCGTCTAACTCTGCCTATTAACAAGACGTAATAACTTCACGTCTAATCCAAGCTAAAACAAAGGATGCAATCAAACTGACTCATAGTCAACATGCATGGTTTGAAGACAAAACATGAACATTTTAATAACAGAAACATTAGGCAGTCATTCGTTGTACATTGGTATTTATGTCACAGTTCTACTCAGTTGTAAAAAGTTTGATTTGTATGGCAGCGACCATGTTCTTCTTGAAAAGCTCATAGTCAAGTAACATAGGGAGCGACAAACTGTTTGCACATGTGTTTGCAAAAAGGAAATTCTTCTTGTCTTCAGGTGATTCAATATCTGCCGAGTGAAACAGCAGGCGTGGAGAGGGGTCGAATCCCAGAGGCAGGATTCCGTCAGCCCCTTTAGGTCACAAACACCAAGAGGTCTTTGAGTGTGGGGGACTTCCGTACCTTCTGAAATGGACATACAGTGCACTACGCTTGTTACTAACACGACGTATAAACCAACATACGTTATATTATAGTCGAAATGTATATAACAAACTAAGGTTATGACGAACTACCTGTACTTGACGTTTGCATTCGTTCTAACCGTAGTTGACCGTATACTCAGGAATACATTGGTTATATATTAATTTTTTAACACCCTGTGAAAACCGTTATTGAAACGTTTGCAATATTCCGTATGCTTGAAGCATTTAAGAATAGAAAGGATACGAAATGATTGATCCTGATGAGATATATTAAATACATTGTGCATTAAATACATGAAATAGACTATCCTTATCAGTTGTGTGATACCTTTGGATTGAGTCTATGATTTACTGAGAAATAATCACTGATTTAAACTATGATATCAGTTATCCAAAGCTATATGATCTACCTTCGTAACAAATACTAATGCACGGTGTATTCATTTATAAAAAACAATTATCACATTGAACGTACCTTCCAAATCAAGAAGAAAATCTCTCTAGTTTGAGAGAACAATCTCTTCTTGGCGGCGTCGGTTGGAGTTGGCCTTTGCTAAATCTGCTTCGAACAATAGTTCTATTGTTGTAGAATCCAGAAGCCTTTTTTCATATTCAAAAACTTCTTTCATGCGTGTTCCATGATGTTTTAGCGCTCCTAATACGCCAAGCGTTTCAAGTCCTCTGCAGAATCTAAGATACACAGAATTGAATGTTCAGTATCTTATCAAGGTGTTCATCTGTACTACAGTGCATTGTCACTATTTCATTGTCTTACATTTGGTACGAGATATAAAATGTGTTAAGTGAATGCACTGTTGACTTTAGTAATAAGGACGGTGGGTGAATATTATTTAACGCCGCGTCAAACAATATTCAGTCACTGTCCTTTTGTTTAAGGTATGTCCATGGATGGCTACAGTGTGTGCTGTCTATTCTGCACAAGTGTATGTATTCGATGTTCGTGAGCGTTTACATAAGAAATAAACAGAAACATTGTAAATCTCGAATAAATACGCACTTGATGTTTACACTTACTGGTCAAAACCTTGATGTGCACGTCCGAACACAATGAATTTTGTTATGGCCTTGCACATTTCTTGTCGCCTGCTCAGCGTATGGACCATGGATATACAACCTGCCATCTGAATCAGGTCTTCAAAGGCCGTGTAATCCTCGGCCTGAGATAACTGATAATAGATGAAATAGATAACTTGCGTTGTCATTCCAGTGTAATATATAGCGGATATTTGCATATGTGCAAACGAACGAGTCCTTTTAAACAGCGTCCTCGAAAGACATGAATCCATGGTTCACTCTCTTGTGAAGCTATTCATTATGAGTTCATGCAATTCATTATTATCAATATTTACTTTCACAAAAAGTTACAGGTTTGTGCCCAATCGCACACGTAGTTGTTAACTTTACATACAGCATACAGATTTCACTACACGATAGTGCTTTATATCAAATACTGATCATTTCAATCAACGTAACTAAATTCCATTGTTAAACTAATAATGAAATGAATGAATCTTGAAATGTACACTTTACAATATTCTTGGAATGTTTTGGAATAGCGCTTAGTTCACTGAGCATATTTTTAACGAGATAACAGACAGCAGATTATTAATGTACTTGTATTCCCGTGTATACCAGACGAAATAAACTTACTGAACTAATAGTAAAATACGTGTGATTAGCTTTTAGTTAGGTTGTCTATTCACTGATCGGTTGTGCACCCTTACCTTCACCACTTGATCCCTGTATTCGTGGTCCATAATGTGGTTTGTTGTTGGCTGAACGCTGTCTATGCCATGGACCATGGCATCACACAGAAGTGGATGGAGGAAACTGGGTAGTGGTCCACCGTGCACAATAGAGTATGCAATCATCTGTCCAACAAGTTCGTATGTCCGATCTTGCAAAGCTGAAAGTGTATTCGGCAACACAAATGCAGTTACAGAACAGTACTTGTTATCAGTAGTATGTTTGGCAAAATTGAAAAATTAACTGGTTCACGAGATGTTGAACAAATCACCCATTTTTCCAAATTACAAGTGGAAGAATATAATCGATTAATCATGCATGCAGTCAATGAAAACAAAGAGTAAAAAAAGGAATGTGTTCCTTGAGAGCCCTAACTGTTAAGAATGTAGATGTTGAGCCTGGAGGACCATCAACACCCGCCTGTATTTCACTGTACGTTGTTGATGTGCAAACACTGAAGCTGAAGCCGTACAACAAACCACAGAGACGTGGTCTGATTCTGCTCCGCTTCACCCCTACAATACTTGATGGCCTTTCGAGTCACTAGTGGAATACATAGTGCAGCCAAACATTCGTCTAACTCTGCCTATTAACAAGACGTAATGACTTCACGTCTAATCCAAGCTAAAACAAAGGATGCAATCAAACTGACTCATAGTCAACATGCATGGTATGAAGACAAAACATGAACATATTAATAACAGAAACATTAGGCAGTCATTCGTTGTACATTGTTATTTATGTCACAGTTCTACTCAGTTGTAAAAAGTTTGATTTGTATGGCAGCAACCATGTTCTTCTTGAAAAGCTCATAGTCAAGCTAACATAGGGAGCGACAAACTGTTTGCACATGTGTTTGCAAAAGGAAATTCTTCTTGTCTTCAGGTGATTCAATTTCTGCCGAGTGAAACAGCAGGCGTGGAGAGGGTCGAATCCCAGAGGGGATTCCGTCAGCCCCGGTCACAAACACCAAGAGGTCTTTGAGTGTGGGGACTTCCGTACCTTCTGAAATGGACATACAGTGCACTACGCTTGTTACTAACACGACGTATAAACCAACATACGTTATATTATAGTCGAAATGTATATAACAAACTAAGGTTATGACGAACTACCTGTACTTGACGTTTGCATTCGTTCTAACCGTAGTTGACCGTATACTCAGGAACACATTGGTTATATATTAATATTTTAACACCCTGTGAAAACCGTTATTGAAACGTTTGCAATATTCCGTATGCTTGAAGCATTTAAGAATAGAAAGGATACGAAATGATTGATCCTGATGAGATATATTAAATACATTGTGCATTAAATACATGAAATAGACTATCCTTATCAGTTGTGTGATACCTTTGGATTGAGTCTGTGATTTACTGAGAAATAATCACTGATTTAAACTATGATATCAGTTATCCAAAGCTATATGATCTACCTTCGTAACAAATACTAATGCACGGTGTATTCATTTATAAAAAACAATTATCACATTGATCGTACCTTCCAAATCAAGAAGAAAATCTCTCCAGTTTGAGAGAACAATCTCTTCTTGGCGGCGTCGGTTGGAGTTGGCCTTTGCTAAATCTGCTTCGAACAATAGTTCTATTGTTGTAGAATCCAGAAGCCTTTTTCATATTCAAAACTTCTTTCATGCGTGTTCCATGATGTTTTAGCGCTCCTAATACGCCAAGCGTTTCAAGTCCTCTGCAGAATCTAAGATACACAGAATTGAATGTTCAGTATCTTATCAAGGTGTTCATCTGTACTACAGTGCATTGTCACTATTTCATTGTCTTACATTTGGTACGAGATATAAAATGTGTTAAGTGAATGCACTGTTGACTTTAGTAATAAGGACGGTGGGTGAATATTATTTAACGCCGCGTCAAACAATATTCAGTCACTGTCCTTTTGTTTAAGGTATGTCCATGGATGGCTACAGTGTGTGCTGTCTATTCTGCACAAGTGTATGTATTCGATGTTCGTGAGCGTTTACATAAGAAATAAACAGAAACATTGTAAATCTCGAATAAATACGCACTTGATGTTTACACTTACTGGTCAAAACCTTGATGTGCACGTCCGAACACAATGAATTTTGTTATGGCCTTGCACATTTCTTGTCGCCTGCTCAGCGTATGGACCATGGATATACAACCTGCCATCTGAATCAGGTCTTCAAAGGCCGGTAATCCTCGGCCTGAGATAACTGATAATAGATGAAATAGATAACTTGCGTTGTCATTCCAGTGTAATATATAGCGGATATTTGCATATGTGCAAACGAACGAGTCCTGTTAAACAGCGTCCTCGAAAGACATGAATCCATGGTTCACTCTCTTGTGAAGCTATTCATTATGAGTTCATGCAATTCATTATTATCAATATTTACTTTCACAAAGTTACAGGTTTGTGCCCAATCGCACACGTAGTTGTTAACTTTACATACAGCATACAGATTTCACTACACGATAGTGCTTTATATCAAATACTGATCATTTCAATCAACGTAACTAAATTCCATTGTTAAACTAATAATGAAATGAATGAATCTTGAAATGTACACTTTACAATATTCTTGGAATGTTTTGGAATAGCTTTAGTTCACTGAGCATATTTTTAACGAGATAACAGACAGCAGATTATTAATGTACTTGTATTCCCGTGTATACCAGACGAAATAAACTTACTGAACTAATAGTAAAATACGTGTGATTAGCTTTTAGTTAGGTTGTCTATTCACTGATCGGTTGTGCACCCTTACCTTCACCACTTGATCCCTGTATTCGTGGTCCATAATGTGGTTTGTTGTTGGCTGAACGCTGTCTATGCCATGGACCATGGCATCACACAGAAGTGGATGGAGGAAACTGGGTAGTGGTCCACCGTGCACAATAGAGTATGCAATCATCTGTCCAACAAGTTCGTATGTCCGATCTTGCAAAGCTGAAAGTGTATTCGGCAACACAAATGCAGTTACAGAACAGTACTTGTTATCAGTAGTATGTTTGGCAAAATTGAAAAATTAACTGGTTCACGAGATGTTGAACAAATCACCCATTTTTCCAAATTACAAGTGGAAGAATATAATCGATTAATCATGCATGCAGTCAATGAAAAACAAAGAGTAAAAAAAGGAATGTGTTCCTTGAGAGCCCTAACTGTTAAGAATGTAGATGTTGAGCCTGGAGGACCATCAACACCCGCCTGTATTTCACTGTACGTTGTTGATGTGCAAACACTGAAGCTGAAGCCGTACAACAAACCACAGAGACGTGGTCTGATTCTGCTCCGCTTCACCCCTACAATACTTGATGGCCTTTCGAGTCACTAGTGGAATACATAGTGCAGCCAAACATTCGTCTAACTCTGCCTATTAACAAGACGTAATGACTTCACGTCTAATCCAAGCTAAAACAAAGGATGCAATCAAACTGACTCATAGTCAACATGCATGGTATGAAGACAAAACATGAACATATTAATAACAGAAACATTAGGCAGTCATTCGTTGTACATTGTTATTTATGTCACAGTTCTACTCAGTTGTAAAAAAGTTTGATTTGTATGGCAGCAACCATGTTCTTCTTGAAAAGCTCATAGTCAACTAACATAGGGAGCGACAAACTGTTTGCACATGTGTTTGCAAAAAGGAAATTCTTCTTGTCTTCAGGTGATTCAATTTCTGCCGAGTGAAACAGCAGGCGTGGAGAGGGGGTCGAATCCCAGAGGCGGGATTCCGTCAGCCCCGGTCACAAACACCAAGAGGTCTTTGAGTGTGGGGACTTCCGTACCTTCTGAAATGGACATACAGTGCACTACGCTTGTTACTAACACGACGTATAAACCAACATACGTTATATTATAGTCGAAATGTATATAACAAACTAAGGTTATGACGAACTACCTGTACTTGACGTTTGCATTCGTTCTAACCGTAGTTGACCGTATACTCAGGAACACATTGGTTATATATTAATATTTTAACACCCTGTGAAAACCGTTATTGAAACGTTTGCAATATTCCGTATGCTTGAAGCATTTAAGAATAGAAAGGATACGAAATGATTGATCCTGATGAGATATATTAAATACATTGTGCATTAAATACATGAAATAGACTATCCTTATCAGTTGTGTGATACCTTTGGATTGAGTCTGTGATTTACTGAGAAATAATCACTGATTTAAACTATGATATCAGTTATCCAAAGCTATATGATCTACCTTCGTAACAAATACTAATGCACGGTGTATTCATTTATAAAAAAACAATTATCACATTGATCGTACCTTCCAAATCAAGAAGAAAATCTCTCCAGTTTGAGAGAACAATCTCTTCTTGGCGGCGTCGGTTGGAGTTGGCCTTTGCTAAATCTGCTTCGAACAATAGTTCTATTGTTGTAGAATCCAGAAGCCTTTTTTCATATTCAAAAACTTCTTTCATGCGTGTTCCATGATGTTTTAGCGCTCCTAATACGCCAAGCGTTTCAAGTCCTCTGCAGAATCTAAGATACACAGAATTGAATGTTCAGTATCTTATCAAGGTGTTCATCTGTACTACAGTGCATTGTCACTATTTCATTGTCTTACATTTGGTACGAGATATAAAATGTGTTAAGTGAATGCACTGTTGACTTTAGTAATAAGGACGGTGGGTGAATATTATTTAACGCCGCGTCAAACAATATTCAGTCACTGTCCTTTTGTTTAAGGTATGTCCATGGATGGCTACAGTGTGTGCTGTCTATTCTGCACAAGTGTATGTATTCGATGTTCGTGAGCGTTTACATAAGAAATAAACAGAAACATTGTAAATCTCGAATAAATACGCACTTGATGTTTACACTTACTGGTCAAAACCTTGATGTGCACGTCCGAACACAATGAATTTTGTTATGGCCTTGCACATTTCTTGTCGCCTGCTCAGCGTATGGACCATGGATATACAACCTGCCATCTGAATCAGGTCTTCAAAGGCCGTGTAATCCTCGGCCTGAGATAACTGATAATAGATGAAATAGATAACTTGCGTTGTCATTCCAGTGTAATATATAGCGGATATTTGCATATGTGCAAACGAACGAGTCCTGTTAAACAGCGTCCTCGAAAGACATGAATCCATGGTTCACTCTCTTGTGAAGCTATTCATTATGAGTTCATGCAATTCATTATTATCAATATTTACTTTCACAAAAGTTACAGGTTTGTGCCCAATCGCACACGTAGTTGTTAACTTTACATACAGCATACAGATTTCACTACACGATAGTGCTTTATATCAAATACTGATCATTTCAATCAACGTAACTAAATTCCATTGTTAAACTAATAATGAAATGAATGAATCTTGAAATGTACACTTTACAATATTCTTGGAATGTTTTGGAATAGCGCTTAGTTCACTGAGCATATTTTTAACGAGATAACAGACAGCAGATTATTAATGTACTTGTATTCCCGTGTATACCAGACGAAATAAACTTACTGAACTAATAGTAAAATACGTGTGATTAGCTTTTAGTTAGGTTGTCTATTCACTGATCGGTTGTGCACCCTTACCTTCACCACTTGATCCCTGTATTCGTGGTCCATAATGTGGTTTGTTGTTGGCTGAACGCTGTCTATGCCATGGACCATGGCATCACACAGAAGTGGATGGAGGAAACTGGGTAGTGGTCCACCGTGCACAATAGAGTATGCAATCATCTGTCCAACAAGTTCGTATGTCCGATCTTGCAAAGCTGAAAGTGTATTCGGCAACACAAATGCAGTTACAGAACAGTACTTGTTATCAGTAGTATGTTTGGCAAAATTGAAAAATTAACTGGTTCACGAGATGTTGAACAAATCACCCATTTTTTCCAAATTACAAGTGGAAGAATATAATCGATTAATCATGCATGCAGTCAATGAAAAACAAAGAGTAAAAAAAGGAATGTGTTCCTTGAGAGCCCTAACTGTTAAGAATGTAGATGTTGAGCCTGGAGGACCATCAACACCCGCCTGTATTTCACTGTACGTTGTTGATGTGCAAACACTGAAGCTGAAGCCGTACAACAAACCACAGAGACGTGGTCTGATTCTGCTCCGCTTCACCCCTACAATACTTGATGGCCTTTCGAGTCACTAGTGGAATACATAGTGCAGCCAAACATTCGTCTAACTCTGCCTATTAACAAGACGTAATGACTTCACGTCTAATCCAAGCTAAAACAAAGGATGCAATCAAACTGACTCATAGTCAACATGCATGGTATGAAGACAAAACATGAACATATTAATAACAGAAACATTAGGCAGTCATTCGTTGTACATTGTTATTTATGTCACAGTTCTACTCAGTTGTAAAAAAGTTTGATTTGTATGGCAGCAACCATGTTCTTCTTGAAAAGCTCATAGTCAACTAACATAGGGAGCGACAAACTGTTTGCACATGTGTTTGCAAAAAGGAAATTCTTCTTGTCTTCAGGTGATTCAATTTCTGCCGAGTGAAACAGCAGGCGTGGAGAGGGGTCGAATCCCAGAGGCGGGATTCCGTCAGCCCCGGTCACAAACACCAAGAGGTCTTTGAGTGTGGGGACTTCCGTACCTTCTGAAATGGACATACAGTGCACTACGCTTGTTACTAACACGACGTATAAACCAACATACGTTATATTATAGTCGAAATGTATATAACAAACTAAGGTTATGACGAACTACCTGTACTTGACGTTTGCATTCGTTCTAACCGTAGTTGACCGTATACTCAGGAACACATTGGTTATATATTAATATTTTAACACCCTGTGAAAACCGTTATTGAAACGTTTGCAATATTCCGTATGCTTGAAGCATTTAAGAATAGAAAGGATACGAAATGATTGATCCTGATGAGATATATTAAATACATTGTGCATTAAATACATGAAATAGACTATCCTTATCAGTTGTGTGATACCTTTGGATTGAGTCTGTGATTTACTGAGAAATAATCACTGATTTAAACTATGATATCAGTTATCCAAAGCTATATGATCTACCTTCGTAACAAATACTAATGCACGGTGTATTCATTTATAAAAAACAATTATCACATTGATCGTACCTTCCAAATCAAGAAGAAAATCTCTCCAGTTTGAGAGAACAATCTCTTCTTGGCGGTGTCGGTTGGAGTTGGCCTTTGCTAAATCTGCTTCGAACAATAGTTCTATTGTTGTAGAATCCAGAAGCCTTTTTTCATATTCAAAAACTTCTTTCATGCGTGTTCCATGATGTTTTAGCGCTCCTAATACGCCAAGCGTTTCAAGTCCTCTGCAGAATCTAAGATACACAGAATTGAATGTTCAGTATCTTATCAAGGTGTTCATCTGTACTACAGTGCATTGTCACTATTTCATTGTCTTACATTTGGTACGAGATATAAAATGTGTTAAGTGAATGCACTGTTGACTTTAGTAATAAGGACGGTGGGTGAATATTATTTAACGCCGCGTCAAACAATATTCAGTCACTGTCCTTTTATTTAAGGTATGTCCATGGATGGCTACAGTGTGTGCTGTCTATTCTGCACAAGTGTATGTATTCGATGTTCGTGAGCGTTTACATAAGAAATAAACAGAAACATTGTAAATCTCGAATAAATACGCACTTGATGTTTACACTTACTGGTCAAAACCTTGATGTGCACGTCCGAACACAATGAATTTTGTTATGGCCTTGCACATTTCTTGTCGCCTGCTCAGCGTATGGACCATGGATATACAACCTGCCATCTGAATCAGGTCTTCAAAGGCCGTGTAATCCTCGGCCTGAGATAACTGATAATAGATGAAATAGATAACTTGCGTTGTCATTCCAGTGTAATATATAGCGGATATTTGCATATGTGCAAACGAACGAGTCCTGTTAAACAGCGTCCTCGAAAGACATGAATCCATGGTTCACTCTCTTGTGAAGCTATTCATTATGAGTTCATGCAATTCATTATTATCAATATTTACTTTCACAAAAGTTACAGGTTTGTGCCCAATCGCACACGTAGTTGTTAACTTTACATACAGCATACAGATTTCACTACACGATAGTGCTTTATATCAAATACTGATCATTTCAATCAACGTAACTAAATTCCATTGTTAAACTAATAATGAAATGAATGAATCTTGAAATGTACACTTTACAATATTCTTGGAATGTTTTGGAATAGCGCTTAGTTCACTGAGCATATTTTTAACGAGATAACAGACAGCAGATTATTAATGTACTTGTATTCCCGTGTATACCAGACGAAATAAACTTACTGAACTAATAGTAAAATACGTGTGATTAGCTTTTAGTTAGGTTGTCTATTCACTGATCGGTTGTGCACCCTTACCTTCACCACTTGATCCCTGTATTCGTGGTCCATAATGTGGTCTGTTGTTGGCTGAACGCTGTCTATGCCATGGACCATGGCATCACACAGAAGTGGATGGAGGAAACTGGGTAGTGGTCCACCGTGCACAATAGAGTATGCAATCATCTGTCCAACAAGTTCGTATGTCCGATCTTGCAAAGCTGAAAGTGTATTCGGCAACACAAATGCAGTTACAGAACAGTACTTGTTATCAGTAGTATGTTTGGCAAAATTGAAAAATTAACTGGTTCACGAGATGTTGAACAAATCACCCATTTTTCCAAATTACAAGTGGAAGAATATAATCGATTAATCATGCATGCAGTCAATGAAAACAAAGAGTAAAAAAGGAATGTGTTCCTTGAGAGCCCTAACTGTTAAGAATGTAGATGTTGAGCCTGGAGGACCATCAACACCCGCCTGTATTTCACTGTACGTTGTTGATGTGCAAAACACTGATGCTGAAGCCGTACAACAAACCACAGAGACGTGGTCTGATTCTGCTCCGCTTCACCCCTACAATACTTGATGGCCTTTCGAGTCACTAGTGGAATACATAGTGCAGCCAAACATTCGTCTAACTCTGCCTATTAACAAGACGTAATGACTTCACGTCTAATCCAAGCTAAAACAAAGGATGCAATCAAACTGACTCATAGTCAACATGCATGGTATGAAGACAAAACATGAACATATTAATAACAGAAACATTAGGCAGTCATTCGTTGTACATTGTTATTTATGTCACAGTTCTACTCAGTTGTAAAAAGTTTGATTTGTATGGCAGCAACCATGTTCTTCTTGAAAAGCTCATAGTCAACTAACATAGGGAGCGACAAACTGTTTGCACATGTGTTTGCAAAAAGGAAATTCTTCTTGTCTTCAGGTGATTCAATATCTGCCGAGTGAAACAGCAGGCGTGGAGAGGGGTCGAATCCCAGAGGCGGGATTCCGTCAGCCCCGGTCACAAACACCAAGAGGTCTTTGAGTGTGGGGACTTCCGTACCTTCTGAAATGGACATACAGTGCACTACGCTTGTTACTAACACGACGTATAAACCAACATACGTTATATTATAGTCGAAATGTATATAACAAACTAAGGTTATGACGAACTACATGTACTTGACGTTTGCATTCGTTCTAACCGTAGTTGACCGTATACTCATGAAAATACATTGGTTATATATTAATTTTTTAACACCCTGTGAAAACCGTTATTGAAACGTTTGCAATATTCCGTATGCTTGAAGCATTTAAGAATAGAAAGGATACGAAATGATTGATCCTGATGAGATATATTAAATACATTGTGCATTAAATACATGAAATAGACTATCCTTATCAGTTGTGTGATACCTTTGGATTGAGTCTATGATTTACTGAGAAATAATCACTGATTTAAACTATGATATCAGTTATCCAAAGCTATATGATCTACCTTCGTAACAAATACTAATGCACGGTGTATTCATTTATAAAAAACAATTATCACATTGATCGTACCTTCCAAATCAAGAAGAAAATCTCTCCAGTTTGAGAGAACAATCTCTTCTTGGCGGTGTCGGTTGGAGTTGGCCTTTGCTAAATCTGCTTCGAACAATAGTTCTATTGTTGTAGAATCCAGAAGCCTTTTTTCATATTCAAAAACTTCTTTCATGCGTGTTCCATGATGTTTTAGCGCTCCTACTACGCCAAGCGTTTCAAGTCTTCTGCAGAATCTAAGATACACAGAATTGAATGTTCAGTATCTTATCAAGGTGTTCATCTGTACTACAGTGCAATGTCACTATTTCATTGTCTTACATTTGGTACGAGATATAAAATGTGTTAAGTGAATGCACTGTTGACTTTAGTAATAAGGACGTTGGGTGAATATTATTTAACGCCGCGTCAAACAATATTCAGTCACTGTCCTTTTGTTTAAGGTATGTCCATGGATGGCTACAGTGTGTGCTGTCTATTCTGCACAAGTGTATGTATTCGATGTTCGTGAGCGTTTACATAAGAAATAAACAGAAACATTGTAAATCTCGAATAAATACGCACTTGATGTTTACACTTACTGGTCAAAACCTTGATGTGCACGTCCGAACACAATGAATTTTGTTATGGCCTTGCACATTTCTTGTCGCCTGCTCAGCGTATGGACCATGGATATACAACCTGCCATCTGAATCAGGTCTTCAAAGGCCGTGTAATCCTCGGCCTGAGATAACTGATAATAGATGAAATAGATAACTTGCGTTGTCATTCCAGTGTAATATATAGCGGATATTTGCATATGTGCAAACGAACGAGTCTTTTTAAACAACGTCCTCGAAAGACATGAACCCATGGTTCACTCTCTTGTGAAGCTATTCATTATGAGTTCATGCAATTCATTATTATCAATATTTACTTTCACAAAAGTTACAGGTTTGTGCCCAATCGCACACGTAGTTGTTAACTTTACATACAGCATACAGATTTCACTACACTATAGTGCTTTATATCAAATACTGATCATTTCAATCAACGTAACTAAATTCCATTGTTAAACTAATAATGAAATGAATGAATCTTGAAATGTACACTTTACAATATTCTTGGAATGTTTTGGAATAGCGCTTAGTTCACTGAGCATATTTTTAACGAGATAACAGACAGCAGATTATTAATGTACTTGTATTCCCGTGTATACCAGACGAAATAAACTTACTGAACTAATAGTAAAATACGTGTGATTAGCTTTTAGTTAGGTTGTCTATTCACTGATCGGTTGTGCACCCTTACCTTCACCACTTGATCCCTGTATTCGTGGTCCATAATGTGGTCTGTTGTTGGCTGAACGCTGTCTATGCCATGGACCATGGCATCACACAGAAGTGGATGGAGGAAACTGGGTAGTGGTCCACCGTGCACAATAGAGTATGCAATCATCTGTCCAACAAGTTGCAAAGCTGAAAGTGTATTCGGCAACACAAATGCAGTTACAGAACAGTACTTGTTATCAGTAGTATGTTTGGCAAAAATGAAAAATTAACTGGTTCACGAGATGTTGAAGAAATCACACATTTTTTTCCAAATTACAAGTGGAAGAATATAATCGATATATCATGCATGCAGTCAATGAGAAATCTCCTGAAACATGCACGGGTGTCCCGGTGCACCTCTTGTACTATCATACACTTGGACTTATGAAAAGGCACGCATGCATTCTTGACACACAAGCAGCACAGTAATCCATTACTAAATCAAAACATTTACTGATATAATGTGGATGGAGCCAGAATGAAGCAGCCCGCAGTTCCCATCATGTTCTTATGAGATACGAAATGAGAGATTGTGTGTTTCCGTACATTCTGTTTCGCAGTGTTCAACATCAAGAAAGTGTCAGTGGTTGTCATATGATCTGCAATGTTCAGTGTACATATTTATGGTCAGCCTGTGAAAATATCAAAACATGTATTCGAAGTTCCAGATCGAGAACCTTAGTAGATTTTGACATATGGACGCTTTGTATTGATGGTATGTTTGGATATGAGTTGATCTGAGTTGAGTTGATTTGAGGTGAGTTGAGGTTAGGTTTAACGTCGCACTTAAGAATATTTCGCTCATATGACGACGTGCATGCGTGTGTATGTGTATGTGCGGCTGCTTGTACTAGCCTAGACTGAAGCTGGTTTTATAGTGCTAGCCCACTGAGATACCATGCCGCAGTGAAGCATGAATACTGACTGACTGACTGGGTTTAGTTTTACGCCGCTTTTAGCAATATTCCAGCAACATCACGGCGGGGGACACCAGAAATGGGCTTCACACATTGTACCCATGTGGGGGATTCGAACCCGGGTCTTCGGCGTGACGAGACAACGCTTTAACCACTAGGCTAAAGCATGAATACCCCACTCAGACACATTATACTGACTCCGAGCCGACTAGTCCTTGTTGTAATCATTAATGCCGAGCGCCAGGCAGGGACCAATAAGTACCATATTTTAACGTCTTTTGGTGTGACGCGGTCGGGGATCGAACCCGCCACCTTCTCTCATTTCTCTGCCATCATAATGCTTATGTGTGACGAAAATACTGACTAACAATTCTGACAAACAAGACTAAGAAATTCGATTAACATACAAAAACAAAACATTTCCTGACGCCCAGTGTAATGTACTTAAAATACAGAACAAAGTGTGTTCATAACCATGTACACTATATGCTATCCAAATACAAACACACTGCGTTCATAATAAATGGGCAAAAAATTAACCTGCCCACATAGCAATTGATCAGGTAGGTAGCAATGGATTAATTAAGGATTAATTAACCCAATTCCATTTTTACACAGACCATTAGTCCTAATTAGTGATGGTAGTTGTACCAATTCGGTCAGTGCAATTTCCGTATGTCCCATTTCTGGCAGTGGATTTTAACACCTCCCTAATTACTTCATCTGGACACTGGCAGTTTTGGGATAAATTGCAATAAGAACATATACTGACATATACATGTTAAAAAACCAATGTTTTGTACATATTAACATATTGCAATGGTATGCTCTACAAAACATGTAATCGAAGGTTGGTGATGCTACCCTTACCTTTGTACGGGGCGGTGGGGTAGCCTAGTGGTTAAAGCGTTGGCTCGTCACGCCGAAGGCCCGGGTTCGATTCCCCACATGGGCACAATGTGTGAAGCCCATTTCTGGTGTCCCCCGCCGTGATATTGCTGGAATATTGCTAAAAGCGGCGTAAAACTAAACTCAGTCAGTCAGTCAGTTACCTTTGTACGTGTATGCAATCATTTATGTGTGTTTGTGTGTGTGTGTGTGTCTATCTATCTATCTATATATCACTAAAACCTGTATAGAAACGAAACTTTTAAGTTTTCTTTGATTTATTACAATACTTGGAAAGTCATTGAAAGTTATCCATAAATTACCATGGAAATGGTCCCTTCCCTCCCCAACCCCTTCAAGTAGTACTATACAACATTTTTCATATTTGCATATCTTTGCAACATCGGAATCTGGTATCTAAATTGATAATGTGTGTCTAATATTTCTGTTTGCAAAGCAAAATAAGTATGAAAATATGCAATTTGTGTTTAAATTTACTGCAAAATTGATGAATTTGGCGTGTTTTGAAAATATCAAGCATGTTCATCTGACCTTGAACTTAACCTTGAAAGTTAAACAATTTTCCTTGACCTGTTTGTAAACAGTTCAGTTGTATGTTACACAAGCAATCACTGAAACACATGCATAAAGCAAAAGTTAATGTTATCTTTGATGTATTCAAATATAGAATATTTACAGTGACATTGGCCACGGTGGCGCCCCCTAAATTTAATATTCCGTGACACTGTTTATATTGGCAACATTTAATTTCATATACAGTGACTCTGAGCTCAGAATGTAGTTGGTGTTATTTGTGTTGACATACCAACAATATATGAGGAAACTTTGAATTTTAGCCCAAATTTGCTACACAATTAATGAATGTGACCTTGGCCTTGAAGGTGTTAATGCACTTGTATTTATGCACTTGTATTCCCAGGGAAACAATCTTGAAACAATATCATTCTTATAATTTAGTTACATAAAGGCATGATTGTCTCAGTTCACTCAGCTGTAAAATGCGTACCCGTGAGGGTGTGCTGCCAGTGTGAGTGTTTAGTTCATTGCGCCTAACAGGCAGCATGGCTGTGTGATGCCCAGGGAGTATGAGATTCCAAGCTTTCAAACGGTACCAAAATCATCTTGCTATAGCTCCGGTATACGTGTTTACGTGTTTAAATTTTTGACAACAAAAGCCACTACTCCATGAGTAGTTATACCAACTATAACATTCTTATCACATAATTCCTTTAAAGTTCAAGAATTAACATTTCGGCATCTTGAATTTAAGCAGTGTGAATGTGCACATTGTCATACAAAATACCTGTTTATGTATTAGTATGTATTAGTTTCCATTTGTGTGAGAGAATGTTAGGAAGTGAGGAGAGATTATTATAATTTTTATAAAGGAATTCGACTGTTAAATGTACCTGAATGTGCGTGTCTGCAGCATGCAACCCAAGAAAGCAAGAAAACACGACACACAATCGCAATGCACAAACAGATGATATTTTAAGCATTATCCCTTCACTATGGGTTTAGCAAATTACACCTCACGTACCGAATCTACGCAGGGGTCAAAGCTGATTACTGAAATATAACGTTGTATAAAATAACATTTAGAATCATCTTTTAGCTCATTTTGTTTCCTAGCAGTATTTCAGTATATTCAGATTATGAAGAAACATTTGAAACGTGTATTTACCAAGAATGGCCAACTGAAGGCGTGATTTACAGACTCTCTTGGAAGAGAACTGAACCACACTAGTAATGTACATATGCTTATCATAGCAGAGGCACATGCGGTTAAGATAATATTACACATTAACATTTCCTTTCTTCCTTCCGACAAAATACGGTTATCTTCTGTGACGTCGTCTGTGAAGTCTTTTCAAAAGACTTACAAAACATAGGGGATAGTGTAAATCCAGCTAGGGTCCATGCAGGTAGCAAAGGCACTGTAAGTGCCCATGGTCCCTAGTATGGTGATATACCTTCGGTCGTTGGTGCCCATTTTTACATTGTATTGTACAAAAATAATTTTGTATTTTGAAAGATATATGCTTGCTAGTTTTAACTCAATCTGTGATAATCTAGTGGTTTTACTGTCCTTCGTTGACAGGGTTTTATATATTATATGTATGTATTATGAATTTAGAACTAGTTTTAGTCACGATATGGCTGAAATATTGCCGATGTGACTTTAAATCTGAACTCACTCACTCACTTACAAAACATAGACGTAGGTGTTATAGATGGACCCATTGCACATGATTGCTATAAGTATAAACAAAGAAGAAGAACTGATGATGATCAAATTTACCTTGGTAGTTAAGGTCGAGCATTTTTGAATTCTCCGGTCCGCAAAAAATCGGTAGGTTAGCTATGTCTATCATAAGCAGCCGGAGGAATTCCCTCGATGGCCCTCCCTCATCGATACCACACTCGTCGACAAACTTGACTGACAGACGGTTTCTCGGATCAAATGAGTGTCGTCTAAACGCCCTTGTGGCTCCCTGCAGCATAGCATACCGGGACACATTCACTATGTTTGATCTTCCTTCTTTAGTTTTGGCTGCCAGTCTTTCAAGGATGTTTGTCAAACTTATGTCTGCAACACTAAAAGAACACATTTATTGTAAGTATATGTGATCCATTCATGTATAGACGCACTCGTTGGCAGCATGGTGTACATATGCTGTTTAACCTTTAGAAAGAGGTATAAAGCTGACTGTTTTTAATTGAACGATTTCTTGAAACTATACACATTGCAAGAAATGGTAGCATATTCGTTTAAATTATCTATTTTAGATAAATCGGCTGCGTATTTTCTAATCAGATACCATATACTATTTGCAAGTTCATAGAGACATTTACGAGATAAGCTATACTTATAGCTAATGATAAAGAATCATTCACTGTTTATGAAACCTGTCTACAGTCTATTTCAGCATTACAGGACATGGACATACGTATTCAGCAAAACTCGATGAAATAAATAAATAATTCATTTCAGTCCCTGTTAGTGATCATAGACTGTATAAATGGGGTGTGAGTATATGTGCAGGAAGGACATACATTGTGTCTGGCTGCAGGTGGTCTACTCCTGTGTCTTCATGAGTGATGTTCACCACAATCGCACTACTGTGCTGTTGATGTTCTGTTAGATCATCGAGTTCCTCCTCAAATAGAAATAGACAGAGAAGTCATTCTCAGAAATCAAAGAATGTTTAGAACATTTTGTAAACGTAATTATTCATTCAGCAACATATATCTTGGATAATATGATTATTTAGTGAGTAGTTATTATGTCGCTTTACTACATTGATTGTGTGATTACTCTAAATACCTACTTGACAACTGTGCAAGAACCTGCATAGAAACAACGCACTCACGAAATAATAGAAGTTGCTATCCATAAGGTTTGTAAGTATTGTAACAAACAGGTAAGAGTAATGACACAATCAAAGAATGACACAATGTATTTGTAACGTGATTTTCATTTTCAGTTTTCTGTTGAACGGGCATGGACTGATTGTGTATTATTTGATCACGTCTATTATTGAAAACATTTTATAAACTAACATGAGCCTCACTGGTGAGTATTTCCCGAATTACATTAATCAAAGATGATATTTGTACTTGTTATAGAAGGGGTTTGAGTACACATTTAACACCTGCAAGTGATGGCGTGTATTGAAGACAATGGTTGGCGTCCCACTGTATATTTCGGGCAGCTCCTCATCGTCGTCGCCGTTGTCCATGACTTGTAACCCTAACAGGAAATGAAAAAAGCCAACGGTTGAAAAGTTTACAACTAATAACATTTTTAATCACCAGTATGTGTATGTCATTTCCACATATAAAACGTTAATGGTGGAGTGAAATTACTGTGCTCATTTCACGGATAACTATCATCGGGGCCTAGAACTTTGAAGCCGTCATAACGTTACAACACATAAAATACACCTGACTTTACACTGTGGTGGCGCTGAAAGAACTACATTTATATAGGCCAAGACTAATTCACTATACCTGTTCATCAGAACAATGTTGATGAATGTTGGTCATCTGATGTTGGTCATCTGAGGTGGTTCCGTTGACATCCTGTGTAAACATACAGCCTGTACATAACTGCCACACTTTCAATGCAAATTACACCAAAGATGGAGTACTGTTATTTGTCAGGACAATTACCATTTTCATCATCATTTATTTACTACATCATCAGTAACTGTTGTCTGTTACATACCAAATACCTGTACTTCATCCCATATGTTAACATGTATGTGTTAACATGGAAAGTAAAGAACTTAAAAATAGCACCACACTCAGATACTCCTAAAATAGATGCAATAATGATTCTTTCTCATTTTTACAAACTTTATCATTGTCACACAATTACGTCATTACAATTTGCCTAGGATCAACCTGTGAAACAATGGATACCAAACCCCCCTTTGCTTCATCAGAACAATTATCAAGACAACTGAATATATACCTCTTGCTCATCAGCCTTAGGGTCATTGAGTGTCACAAGGATGTGATCAGTAGCAGCTTCGTCGACAGTCTGTGGAAAGAAGGAAATACACATTACGCATAAATGGAGGAAACAGGCACTAAAGACTAAACAGTTGACTTATGACATTTATGACAGTTTTTCAGAACCATCAAACAAGTGATGAACACACATGACTCCATGGAACAAACGGGTATATAAATCAGATCTAGTGATGGAAGTGCCCGACTGAATGTTAATATTTTCTCATTTCCCTGTCAATACTATATATACCTTTTTACTTTTGTCGTTTGTGTGAAGATACGCCCTAATTGGGTGAGATTTCCTACTTTTGTAGAATAAATCTACAGTGAAGGATTCTCCATTAATGGTGTCCTGCAGTTTTGAGCCACTGAAATTAGTCAGATAGAAATTGAGATTTGACAGGAGCAAGTCCTGAACTGTATTCTGTCCCTCTGGAAAATACAGCTCGCTAACTTTGTTTTCCAGCTCAGCCAGTGAGAGGTGCTTCTCGGCATCAATGTCATGGGCACCCCCTCCCTTACTTGCAGGTATCAGTTTGAACGAGCCAGTGGTTTGGTGTTTCCATCCTAATTTGATCTTCCTTGTTGCTGATTTCGAACTTCTGAAGGCTCCGTTGTCAGCCCTCCATGATGACTACAAACAAACAGTGAACTTTACATATATGCAAACAAAACTGGACATAACTGAAAACAAATAACAACAATGCAAAATAGCAAATACATATTGATTGATAGATAAAATTTCAAAACATTACATGTGCATCGTTCGTTCATGCCTTGGTGTCAACATAGACTGTCGTTATCAAAGTTTCAAAATAACGCACGAATAACCGAAGAACAATTACTCCAGAAATTCAGAATATGAATAAGAATTGTTATCAGTTAAAACTGAAAAATTGTTACTCGAGTGGTAAAAACATTCCTGACACAGAGTGCATATCATTTACCCCACAACTGGGAACACACTAGGATATACTAGGAATACCTGTCGTCGCCTCTTTGACTGAAACATTTTCACTCGTTGGACAATTGGTGATTCTGGTATAGATTCTGCATATGAAATAACACAAAGTTACTTCAAACACATTAAATATGAATGTAAAAATTCATTTGCAACATATACGAAGCTACCTATTTAACTATACCATATTATGTATATCAGTTATTGTGATATGTTGTGCATATTGTTTACATGTGTACACTTTGAATTCAATTATTTTCGTAAATCGACGTATTTTGAGAAGACATAACGTTAATGCCGTACATTTCAAATTTTAGCCATTTTAAAAGGAGGATTTTACCACAGATGAAATCTTTGCAGCGTTGTCTGAGTTTAGCTCTTTCGCCAATGGTTTCGATCCCAAGTGTTTTGAACTCCTCATCCGTCAAGGAAAGAACTTCTGAAGGACCAACCTTGCGTGAAAAAAAGTATTACACAATATATATTTTAAATATATCATCTGAAGCTTTTGATGAGGCGGGTGCAAGCTACTTGCAGTTAACTACTTTTGTTATAACTAAAAGGAAAAGCTAAGTTTAGTTTCAAATATTTGAAGGGCATTTAGAAGTGGAATGCACAAGAAAAGCAAGATTTATGGATGCCAACTTCTTTATTGTGAATAACACGACGTTTCGAAGTGTATGTTTACTACATCAGTAGGTGAATGGTAGGGAGTATGAGGGGGATATATACATCTTTGTAGTGGCTCATATATATAGACCCCCCTCATACTCCCTACCATTCACCTGATGAAAGAGTAAGCATACACTCCAAAACGTCGTGTTATTCTAATAAAGATTGATATCCATAAATCTTGCTTTTAAGTTTAGTTTGTTATGACAGAAGTTAGTTAAACACATTTGACTATACGACATCTTGGATAAAGTGACGTGACCACGTCATATCACTACGTTAGTAACAACAGTTTGATATGTATCATACCTAGCATGATTAAAAATACATGCTACAAGACAGTTTCATAGTCAGACATACAGTGTGAAGCTTTCCGTTTGAGAATTGTGACTGCAACAGTACTTTATAATACGGATTTACCTATCTTTAAACAATGCAATTATGTACAGAATATATGTACACCTCACAGGCTACAGCTACACATTTCCACGTAGGTTTTGAGAAGCTGATTGGTTACAGTGTATTAAAATATCTTTTCTAGTGTGTATCCTTTTCGTTTCCATTTTAATGACTTGAAACCCGTTAGATATATGGAATCATTTACCTGTATTGGTTATGTTCATAATTTGGTGAGCTAATGTTGCAACGATTTAAATCTAATGAGAGCTAAACGTGGCACTCACTGGGATGCAGACAAACAAACCCTCCAACATATCTACAACACATTTCGGCTGTGCACACAGGGGTGCGCTTCTCCCGTCCTCCATTCTAATGATCGATAATGATAAACTAAACTCGCTATATTACAAAGCCCTCAAAATAGCCACAAAGACTGGTACCTCTAAATACATCCCCTGACCTCACCCACCTACATATCCAATTAAACAACATTATACAACACATACATTAGACTGTGCAGTACAGGACCTCCTTATATCCCACCCGCCCGGCCCTTTCTACGATGCTAAATATCTTAACATGTCCTATCCCTGAACCACATCATTTTCAATTCCACCCAGCCCCTTTCTACGATGCTAAATTCCTTAATGAAGCAAGTGTAGATTTCACTAGGCTCTGAATATTCCAATTCACTGGGACTCCTTTACAGTTTAATTGATTTTTTTTTATTAATTTTATATATATTCAGAAATTGAACGTTAGTCTACACATAAATTACCACCACATCTATTTTATAAACATCATTCATTTTTTATATCAGATCGGGATACAAATTCTGTGCACGGATGTGATATTCGAGTTAAAAACAACCATTACAGCTACACATTACAGTATAACCTCAATTATCCAGACTCTCTCTCAATGCCAAGGTCACTCAACACACGTTTCACAACCTCACCATAAATACCCTGCCTGGGAAGCCAAACTTGTTGACATTTAGCCTGAAATCTAACCTTTTTTTATTTAGCACGCTCCTTATCTTTTTATCAGCAACAGCTGAACTGTTCTTGATATATAATAAGCCTCAATATACTTTACACAGTTTACCATATATAAATTATACGCTAACTTGGGCTGGTTTATTTCTCCTGGACCGACTTCCCCGCCCTGTTACCTCCAACTTCACTGTTGCCCGTGTAAACTTATAATTATTTTCAATCTATAAACTATCCCCTCTGAATACCTACTTTTATTTTTATATACATGGATATTCTATTTTTGATTCTTAACTGTGTGTTTTCTATTTCTTTGTGTATTATTTTAAACACACCCCTATCAATAGGAGCGTTTCGCATGTTGCTGGTGGTTTAGGTTGTAGTGCGTTATTCCCCTATTAATATTATGTAGTGAAGGTGCTGATTGTTTGGGGTCCTGTGGTGTTATCTCATTTCTTTATAGTCGTGCTTATGGCAAATGTGTCAATTTATCCCAGTAGAAAAACTGATCCATAAAATACCTAAAGATATTTGCTCATGTAACAGTAATGTGTTTTATCCCGTTAACAGACCTTTTAAAAGTAAACAAACACATTTCGTGCCTGCAGTTGTAGTTGGGTTATTGTTTGGACAATTAACTTAATGCGAGGTAATGCGTTATTTACAAAAATACCATTGAATTTTGAAAGCATGTGTAATTTGTGGTGTCTGCACACGGAGCAGACCTTTAGGTTTGAAACTATGCACATGAAACAGACCTTGTTTCTCCTTTGATGTTTACCGATCTGGTCTTGCAATTAATTGGTGTTTGTTTAGTGGCTTAATGATGAGGTTTCTTAACTGACTAATTAACTCAGTGAATACTGATCAATGAGGTATCATATCTACATTGAACTGTGTTCAAAATGTCACTTGTCACCTACATTGAACCGTGTTCAAAATGACACGTCACTTAATCATAATAATATTACAAGTGTTCACTGGAATACTACTTAAGGGAATGGTAATTTAGCAATGGCATCATTCCCAGCAATGGCAGAGGTCCAGCTAGGTCACACGTTTATACCAACTGCTAGAGGCGGTAGGTATTTATGTGTCAAAAGTCAATACAAATGTACACTGAATGAAGATTAAAACAATATGCAGCAGGAGGCCGGACGCTATGAGTATCACCGAATTTTAAGGCGAGAAAGCGATGGCCCTAATCAGCCACCATAACTAGAAGGTAATCTATGTAAAATGTACACACCCTTTTCCAAGGTGTGATTCTTTGCCGTCCGTTCAGCGAGTTGCTGCTCGCCCCTGCCATCACCTGGAAGATACAGCGCCAGGATGTTCAAAAACAATTAAAAAGTTAACAGTGTCACAAACCCATGGTATCATAGGTCGAAAATGATATCTTCCATTTCCTACAGATGTGTTATGTAAATATATAACGACAAAACCATTTCCATGTAGATGCAATCTCTCTGCCAATTGATTTTACAGACCATAGCATGAACAAGCTGAAAATGGCTTAAGTGCAAGTTCCAGGATAATTTCCATTAGCCCACATTTTCAACAGTAAACCATTTCATTGTGTCCTTTCGACGTTACTTGGGTGAAACAAGTATTAGAAATGGGAAGGAAAAACAACAACAACAAACAGTAACACATGCATTGCATCGGACATTTATACCTACCATATTGGATTCTAACACTAGCCCTTAACCCAAAACCTAAAGCTAAACCCTTCAAAATAATCCGTCTTGAATAAAAAACACATTGACTGAAGCGGCACGAAAATGGCTGACATGTAATGCATTCTGACCGCTTCGAAATATTACAACTAATAACATTTTTAATCACCAGTATGTGTATGTCATTTCCACATATAAAACGTTAATGGTGGAGTGAAATTACTGTGCTCATTTCACGGATAACTTTCATCGGGGCCTAGAACTTTGAAGCCGTCATAACGTTACAACACATAAAATACACCTGACTTTACACTGTGGTGGCGCTGAAAGAACTACATTTATATAGGCCAAGACTAATTCACTATACCTGTTCATCAGAACAATGTTGATGAATGTTGGTCATCTGATGTTGGTCATCTGAGGTGATTCCGTTGACATCCTGTGTAAACATACAGCCTGTACATAACTGCCACACTTTCAATGCAAATTACACCAAAGATGGAGTACTGTTATTTGTCAGGACAATTACCATTTTCATCATCATTTATTTACTTCATCATCAGTAACTGTTGTCTGTTACATACCAAATACCTGTACTTCATGCCATATGTTAACATGTATGTGTTAACATGGAAAGTAAAGAACTTAAAAATAGCACCACACTCAGATACTCCTAAAATAGATGCAATAATGATTCTTTCTCATTTTTACAAACTTTATCATTGTCACACAATTACGTCATTACAATTTGCCTAGGATCAACCTGTGAAACAATGGATACCAAACCCCCCTTTACTTCATCAGAACAATTATCAGGACAACTGAATATATACCTCTTGCTCATCAGCCTTAGGGTCATTGAGTGTCACAGGGATGTGATCAGTAGCAGCTTCGTCGACAGTCTGTGGAAAGAAGGAAATACACATTACGCATAAATGGAGGCAACAGGCACTAAAGACTAAACAGTTGACTTATGACATTTATGACAGTTTTTCAGAGCCATCAAACAAGTGATGAACACACATGACTCCATGGAACAAACGGGTATATAAATCAGAACTAGTGATGGAAGTGCCCTACTGAATGTTAATATTTTCTCATTTCCCTGTCAATACTATATATACCTTTTCACTTTTGTCGTTTGTGTGAAGATACACCCTAATTGGGTGAGATAAAATAACGCACGAATAACCGAAGAACCAATACTCCAGAAATTCAGAATATGAATAAGAATAGTTATCAGTTAAAACTGAAAAATTGTTACTCGAGTGGTAAAAACATTTCTTACACAGAGTGCATTTCATTTACCCCACAACTGGGAACATACTAGGATATACTAGGAATACCTGTCGTCGCCTCTGTGACTGAAACATTTTCACTCGTTGGACAATTGGTGATTCTGGTATAGATTCTGGAGATGAAATAACGCAAAGTTACTTCAAACACATTGAATATGAATGTAAATATTCATTTGCAACATATACGAAGCTACCTATTTAACTATACCATATTATGTATATCAGTTGCTGTGATATGTTGTGCATATTGTTTACATGTGTACACTTTGAATTCAATTATTTTCGTGAATCGACGTATTTTGAGAAGACATAACGTTAATGCCGTACATTTCAAATTTTAGCCATTTTAAAAGGAGGATTTTACCACAGATGAAATCTTTGCAGCGTTGTCTGAGTTTAGCTCTTTCGCCAATGGTTTCGATCCCAAGTGTTTTGAACTCCTCATCCGTCAAGGAAAGAACTTCTGAAGGACCAACCTTGCGTGAAAAAAAGTATTGAACAAAATATAATTTAAATATATCATCTGAAGCTTTTGATGAGGCGGGTGCAAGCTACTTGCAGTTAACTACTTTTGTAATAACTAAAAGGAAAAGCTAAGTTTAGTTTCAAATATTTGAAGGGCATTTAGAAGTGGAATGCACAAGAAAAGCAAGATTTATGGATGCCAACTTCTTTATTGTGAATAGCACGACGTTTCGAAGTGTATGTTTACTACATCAGTAGGTGAATGGTAGGGAGTATGAGGGGGATGTATACATCTTTGTAGTGGCTCATATATATAGACCCCCCTCATACTCCTACCATTCACCTGATGAAGGAGTAAGCATACACTCCAAACTTATAGTGTTATTCACAATAAAAAGAAGTTAATATCCATAAATCTTGCTTTTTCTTAAGTTTAGTTTGTTATGACAGAAGTTAGTTAAACGCATTTGACTATACGACATCTTGGATAAAGTGACGTGACCACGTCATATCACTACGTTAGTAACAACAGTTTGATATGTATCATACCTAGCATGATTAAAAATACATGCTACAAGACAGTTTCATAGTCAGACATACAGTGTGAAGCTTTCCGTTTGAGAATTGTGACTGCAACAGTACTTTATAATACGGATTTACCTATCTTTAAACAATGCAATTATGTACAGAATATATGTACACCTCACAGGCTACAGCTACACATTTCCACGTAGGTTTTGAGAAGCTGATTGGTTACAGTGTGTTAAAATATCTTTTCTAGTGTTTATCCTTTTCGTTTCCATTTTAATGACTTGAAACCCGTTAGAAATATGGTAATTATTTACCTGTATTGGTTATGTTCATAATTTGGTGAGCTAATGTTGCAACGATTTAAATCTAATGAGAGCAAAACGTGGCACTCACTGGGATGCAGACAAACAAACCCTCCAACATATCTACAACACATTTCGGCTGTGCACACAGGGGTGCGCTTCTCCCGTCCTCCATTCTAATGATCGATAATGATAAACTAAACTCGCTATATTACAAAGCCCTCAAAATAGCCACAAAGACTGGTACCTCTAAATACATCCCCTGACCTCACCCACCTACATATCCAATTAAACAACATTATACAACACATACATTAGACTGTGCACTACAGGACCTCCTTATATCCCACCCGCCCGGCCCTTTCTACGATGCTAAATTCCTTAACATGTCCTATCCCTGAACCACATCATTTTCAATTCCACCCAGCCCCTTTCTACGATGCTTAATTCCTTAATGAAGCAAGTGTAGATTTCACTAGGCTCTGAATATTCCAATTCACTGGGACTCCTTTACAGTTTAATTGAATTTGTTTTAATTAATTTTATATATATTCAGAAATTGAACGTTAGTCTACACATAAATTACCACCACATTAATTTTATAAACATCATTCATTTTTCATATCAGATCGGGATACAAATTCTGTGCACGGATGTGATATTCGACGTTTGCGAGTTAAAAACAACCATTACAGCTACACATTACAGTATAACCTCAATTATCCAGACTCTCTCTCAATGCCAAGGTCACTCAACACACGTTTCACAACATTACCATAAATACCGTACCCTGCCTGGGAAGCCAAACTTGTTGACATTTAGCCTGAAATTTAACCTTTTTTTATTTAGCACGCTCCTTATCTTTTTATCAGCAACAGCTGAACTGTTCTTGATATATAATAAGCCTCAATATACTTTACACAGTTTACCATATATAAATTATACGCTAACTTGGGCTGGTTTATTTCTCCTGGACCGACTTCCCCGCCCTGTTACCTCCAACTTCACTGTTGCCCGTGTAAACTTGTAATTATTTTCAATCTATAAACTATCCCCTCTGAATACCTACTTTTATTTTTATATACATGGATATTCTATTTTTGATTCTTAACTGTGTGTTTTCTATTTCTTTGTGTATTTTTTTAAACACACCCCTATCAATAGGAGCGTTTCGCATGTTGCTGGTTGTTTAGGTTATAGTGCGTTATTTCCCTATTAATATTATGTAGTGAAGGTGCTGATTGTTTGGGGTCCTGTGGTGCTATCTCATTTCTTTATAGTCGTGCTTATGGCAAATGTGTCAATTTATCCCAGTAGAAAAACTGATCCATAAAATACCTAAAGATATTTGCTCATGTAACAGTAATGTGTTTTATCCCGTTAACAGACCTTTTAAAAGTAAACAAACACATTTCGTTCCTGCAGTTGTAGTTGGGTTATTGTTTGGACAATTAACTTAATGCGAGGTAATGCGTTATTTACAAAAATATCATTGAATTTTGAAAGCATGTGTAATTTGTGGTGTCTGCACACGGAGCAGACCTTTAGGTTTGAAACTATGCACATGAAACAGACCTTGTTTCTCCTTTGATGTTTACCGATCTGGTCTTGCAATTAATTGGTGTTTGTTTAGTGGCTTAATGATGAGGTTTCTTAACTGACTAATTAACTCAGTGAATACTGATCAATGAGGTATCATATCTACATTGAACTGTGTTCAAAATGTCACTTGTCACCTACATTGAACCGTGTTCAAAATGACACGTCACTTAATCATAATAATATTACAAGTGTTCACTGGAATACTACTTAAGGGAATGGTAATTTAGCAATGGCATCATTCCCAGCAATGGCAGATGTCCAGCTAGGTCAAACGTTTATACCAACTGCTAGAGGCGGTAGGTATTTATGTGTCAAAAGTCAATACAAATGTACACTGAATGAAGATTAAAACAATATGCAGCAGGAGGCCGGACGCTATGAGTATCACCTTACTATAAAACTGTATAGAAATATTTATACTATTAAATGTCTTACCAAGCGTTACCTTGTTTCTTGCTGCAGACTATACCTTAATCCCCCTTTGTTAACTAATTGACAAAGGGGTCGACCCAGACTCTTTGATGTTGGGAATGTGAGGTGTCCCCGGCAAACCACCCTCAAAGAGAAGAAAATATGTTCGATTGGATGAGAACCTTTTAGCTGTGAAACCACCCTAATGGACTATGCAGATTCTGCTTCCTTCAGCCTTAAGCTGTGCTAGCTTACGTTTATTTGAATTGTACAGAGTTTTACCCATGTAAATAAACGTATAAAAACATATATAACTGATTTCTTTTGTATGTACCAGTCTATAAGCAAAGTAGACTGATAGACCTAACGAGCTGATCACTCAGGTATATAATCTGGATTATCCTGATGAGTTGAGAAGAAACAATATAATTTAAACTGGATGTAGATTACTTGTGAAATGCACATGAAGCAGACCTGATTTTCCCTCGCAAAGATGAAAGGTCTACTTCATGTGCATAAACCGTAATTTGTTTCGATACGTTGGTTGGTTGTAGTTTAACGCTGCACTCAGCAGTATTCCAGCTATATGGCGGCGATGTGTAAATAATCGAGTTTGGACCAGATAATCCAGTAATCAACAGCATGAGCATCGATCTACGCAATTGGGAACCGATGACACGTGTCAGCCAAGTGTGGAGTCTGACCACCCGATCCCGTTAGTCGCCTTTTATGACAATCATGTGTTAATGAAGATCATTTCTACACTGGATATTCACGGGTTCAAGCACATACGTACAACAATAGTAAAGACTTGTTTAACCTCACCTTGTTGGCAATAAAGTTGGTGGTCAAATAACTTAGGTTAAGATCTTTCAAAATCTCTTGCAAATGGCGACAAAGCCTCCATTTGGATTAAGTCATCTGCAGACAAGATGTAATGCGGAATTATGGGAAATATCGCTCTATCGCTTTCTCGCTTTCTCGCTCTATCGCTTTCTCGCCTTGGTATATTGCTTTCTCGCTCTATCGCTTTCTCGCTCTATTGCTTTCTCGCTATAAAGCTTTCTTGCCTTGGTATATCGCTTTCTCGCCATGGCATATCGCTTTCTCGCGTAATGGTATCGCTTTCTCGTCTCGTGCTATCGCTTTCTCGTCTCGTGTTATCGCTTTCTCGTCTCGCGCTATCGGTTTCTCGTCTTGCGCTATCGCTTTCTCGTCTCGTGTTATTGCTTTCTCGTCTCGTGATATCGCTTTCTCGCCTCCGAATTTTAAGGTGAGAAAGCGATGGCCCCAATCAGCCACCATAACTAGAAGGTAATCTATTTAAAATGTACACACCCTTTTCCAAGGTGTGATTCTTTGCCGTCCGTTCAGCGAGTTGCTGCTCGTCCCCTGCCATCACCTGGAAGATAGAGCGTCAGGATGTTCAAAAATAATTAAAAGGTTAACAGTGTCACAAACCAATGGTATCATAGGTCGAAAATGATATCTTCCGTTTACTACAGATGTGTTATGTAAATATATAACGACAAAACCATTTCCATGTAGATGCAATCTCTCTGCCAATTGATTTTACAGACCATAGCATGAACAAGCTGAAAATGGCTTAAGTGCAAGTTCCAGGATAATGTCCATTAGCCCAAATTTGCAACAGTAAACCATTTCATTGTGTCCTTTCGACGTTACTTGGGTGAAACAAGTATTAGAAATGGGAAGGAAAAACAACAACAACAAACAGTAACACATGCATTGCACCCGACATCTATACCTACCATATTGGATTCTAACACTAACCCTAAATCCAAAACCTAAAGCTAAACCCTTCAAAATAATCCATCTTGAATAAAAAACACATTGACTGAAGCGGCACGAAAATGGCTGACATGTAATGCATTCTAACCGCTTCGAAATATACAATGTAAATAATAAACTCCAGTCTCGTTTAATGATGCAATTACTGAATGAAAAAAATCGATATGTTTATTAGTTCCCATTTATAATTCATTTAGTGAACTAGGGACTAATGACACACACAGCCCAGCGGACTGTAACAATGAAGTGAACTAGGGACTAACGACACACACAGCCCAGCGGACTGTAACAATGTAGTGAACTTGGGACTAATGACACACACAGCCCAGCGGACTGTAACAATGAAGTGAACTAGGGAATAATGACACACTCAGTCCAGCGGACTGTAACAATGAAGTGAACTAGGGACTAATGACACACTCAGCCCAGCGGACTGTAATAATGAAGTGAACTAGGGACTAACGACACACTCAGCCCAGCGGACTGTAACAATGTAGTGAACTAGGGACTAACGACACACTCAGCCCAGCGGACTGAATCAATGTAGTGAACTAGGGACTAACGACACACTCAGCCCAGCGGACTGTAACAATGTAGTCCAAGCTGGATCCATTGGCTGACATCACGAGCATCAATCCATACATCTCGGATACAGTGACATGTATCAACCAAGTCACCACATTTGAAAAACCATTAAGCAGCCAATTTCTACAAACATAGATTGCTGAAGACCGGTTCTAACCCAATTCATCACAACACTACGAGATTGGACTGCTGAGCACCAATTCTAACCTGGTTCATCACAGGGTTACAAGTATGGGATACTGAACACCAGTTCTACACTAGGTTATTGCAGGGTCACAAGCATGGACTGTAGAAGATTGATCCAGAATCTCTGCAGGAGTAGGTACTATCAGTGAGTATCAAAGAGGAACAATAATAAGAGACGGTAATATATGTCACTCTGATACTCACTCTTTGGGAGCTGGGCTCTCTCTCCGTGATCTGCTTTTCTTCTTGTCGGGAGATCTGTAACCATGGTAACATATTCTCAGGTTGTACAATCACTACATTACACAATGGAATTTTTTGCCATACAAAACATTTTTGTCACCATGGTAACTGTGAAGACAAGTCTGATAAGAGCCAATTTGGACCAATTGCTTGTAACCTTATCACCATTTCCATCTCTCTTGATCAGTGTGCGAAACAGTTTCCAAATTTTGCGAGCCAGTTGGGCTAGCTATGCCTGAAAGTTACTATCCCACAACATAATTCACTATCCCAAAACTTGAGTGAAGAAACAGCTTTCATAATTAAGTTGCTAACAATGATGAACATTTTTATCAGGCCCCAATCTTTGATGATTTAAAAGTGTATTATAACTTAACAAGTCAGAGAAAGTGATATATTTACAAAATGACTCCATGAAAATTCACTAGCCAGTCGGGCCAGTGACTGTGGAGATTTACTGTCCCGACTGGATTTTTACTAGCCATGGGCTAGCGGGCCTTCAGCTATTTCGCACACTGCTCTTAATACTGGCTTAGAGCAGAATTTATTACATGTTTTGATTTACCTAGCAGTCAATAGTGCTCTTTGTAAGGGTCGGGCATAAATCCAGTTCATCTTCATTAAAAACATATCCTTATGCTTGCCAATGGACACCAATCACAGTTCACCCCAAAAAGACCTATCACTTGACCAATCAGAGTATGGCTTACTAGATCAAAGAAGTGAAAGTCTGAATCTGTTTATAACATAATTGAGACATTTGTTTAAACAATTTGCAAATAGTAGTCTCAAATGAAACTTGTCAGTTGGAGACAAGTGACATAGAGCTTGAGAGAGCAGCTTTTTCATAATCACATTGGTGTGTCAAAGTTCAAAAAATCACTCTAATGTGACCTGTTCTGAAGCGATGTGCTTACATTTTAGTGTAGACGTAGCAACAACTAAGATACGATTTTAATGAGATTGATCTAGCTGAAATGTTGGCCCTTTCAAATAAGTCCTGACAGACTACAAATGAAGGAGTTTCTGAGAGCTGTCATGTTATAGACAAACATCTTCCTGAGTAATCAGGCTCAGGGAGCAAATTCCTTATTTTATGGAGACTTATGCCACAAGACAAAAGAACTGATTTCATCACTTGTTGTACTTGTTGATGAGTGAGTGAGTATAGTTTTATGCCTCTTTTAGCAATATTCCAGCAATATCACTGCCAGGGACATAAGTAAAGGGCTTCAAACATTGTACCCATGTGGGAAACGAACGAATGCTTTAACCACTAGACTACCCCACCACCCCTAATCGTAGGTGAGCAGCAGTGTTTGTTTCAGTGGCTATGATGGATAATTTTCAGAGAGTTTGACATGATCTGAACAGGACTTAATATTTATCCTAGTCCCAATAGCAACCATAGCTTTGTTTTATCATACTAGGATGGTGACATGGTATATATGATATGGACACCATGAGATCAGAGGTTGACACCATTCTGTTGTCATCACTGAATCTGGTCCTGACCAACCCATTCACGATAAAACAATATTCACTCATTTCAGAAGAGTTTAACAGTGTTTTTTTTCATAAAGTTGACCTTGATAAATGTTTCATTCAATTACAGAAACATACTCCCCCTGACTGAAAGGTTCTGAGAATAAATATCGTCTCTGACGAACCTTGATCTCCTTCCTCTGCTTCTTGACCTTGATCTGCGACTTCTACCTCGCGAATCTGACCTTGACCTCCGACCTCTACTTCTGGAATCAGACCTTGACCTCCGACCTCTGCTTCTGGAATTTGACCTGGATCTTCTCCTGGTATGTCTGTCTCTACTTCTTGACCTGTATCTGTCTCTGTTTCTCTCTGGACTCCACGACCTTATTAAAATAAGTCGTGTAAAGGATTTGTGAATTGATTTATTGTGCTATCAAGAAGAAACGTAGGTGCATATTAACATACCTGAAACGAGGGTAATTCTTTTACCACAATACGATTTGATGCTACTTTTAACAACATTCCAGCAAATTCATGGCCAGGAACATCTGTTACACACTCACATAAGCTTGATTCGTTGATGTAAGGGAAGTGCGGCAGAAATCATATTTTAAATGCATGATTACATTTAGTATACTCACTAAATATGTTATTCATTGATTCAGCAAATTGAAAATGCCTAATATTCCACTCATGAATGAAACGTTTGTTTACCGAAGCTATTTGCAATCATCACCCATTCATGTACCCACAAAATGTGACGTCACCTTGTTTCGTGGATTACATAGTTGGTTACTTTATATCACTTTGTACGACAGCCCATTGCAGTAAGTATTGACACCTATGAATGCAGACGACGAAATGTGAGAAGGTTGGTGCTAACTGTACCTTTTTCACTTGACATTTTGTAAAAATAAATTTTTTAATTGTTGGCATTAGTGACCATGGGCTATTTATCTCAGTGCTGACCAATTAGATTTAGTGTACTTACATGTAATGCAGAGATTCAGGACACTTTGTGTCAGCGAGGCAAGGCACTGTATGTACATCAAAAGGGCCGCTTCATGATATCAAACGAGACTTAATTTACGAGAAAGCATGATAATTACCGCCATCCACAATTCAAGGTTACGGTTGTGTACATTGTACCCTTGAGATATTCAGTAAGGGGCAGTGGTGTGCACATTTAAACTTGTGCTATAATCTTATAGGCATATTGTTATGAATGAGAGTGGTTTTTTTGTAATTTGTAATATCATTGATTATATGGGTCACAATGTTTCAAGTTTTGAGTGTGGAGTGTGGGTTTGGGCTTGCATCCCGCATCATATATGTTCAATGGCAATAGTATTTGTAGCGGCACGCCTTTTTGATAGCACTTTGGAGTTGCTTCCCTTGGCTGGCTTTATTTTGTTTTGACCTTTCAGGTCTTGTCATGTCTTGTGTTTACGATGGCTTTTGTGAACGTTCCAAGAGGATAATGATGGAGCCTAGCTTGCTAGAATGCTCAATAACCGTGTAAGAGTTATATGAAGGCTGGTTGTTGTGTTGTGCGACACAGGACTTTTCACATGACTGGATTTATACACATCTGTCTGCCAGTTTCAAATGTAAGACTTTGATAGTTTGTTTTATTTTGACATTTAATTAACAATACTTTGAATGTAAATTAAATACAGTAATATACTCGTAACTCTCCATTTCTTAAAAATAACAGACCTCGGTTCCATTCTTATTCAGGAATGGAGAGTTACTCAGATATTACCCTCCAGGGCTCCAGATAACTTTTGGGAGTCTGGGTGTACTTACACCTCAAATTGCAAGTGGAGATGAACTGAGAATTTTGAAGGAGTACTGACATGTTTTGTGTGAGCGAGTTGGTGATGTGGTTTGTTATTTATAATATTCAACAAATTGTCAGCTATTTAACCTTATATGTTAGATGTACAAAGGTATTTATGTGCATACATGACACATTTGAAATCTTATAGTAAGTCGTACTTCATTGATTTTTAGGCGTACATTACGCCTGTATGCCCATTATCTGTAGCCCTGCCTCTGCAGAATGATTTAGAAAGATCTAGAAAGAAATTATTCTAGAATCATCTGGAGAGGTAGATAAGGGGAGTTAACTCTTGCCTCATCTCACATTACATCTCAAGTTAGCAGAAGACAAACAATGTGTGTGACGATCATATATCCTGCCTGAGCCTGCAACAGGGGTTGCTGTTGCTGAGAGGTGAATGTTATCATCATTGTCGTTCTTGCTACAATCGCTGTTCTGGTATCAAATTTGATCTTGTACTGCCATAGTGATAGCCTTGAATTGATTTGAGAAATTAGTATATTTTAGAATACAACTGCTACTTACAGCACATTTGTTGTTTGCCAGTTTCATGCATAGTTCGGGGCAGTGGGGTAGCCTAGTGGTTAAAGCCTTTGCTTGTCATGCCGAAGACCCGGGTTCGATTCCCCACATGGGTACAATGTTTGAAGCCCATTTCTGGTGTCCCCCATCGTGATATTGCTGGAATAGTGCTAAAAGCGCCGTAAGACCAAACTCACTCCTCACAGTTCTCTTACGGACTGATTCCTGGTTAAGTATTTAGTTTCAAAATGGGAATCAACACGTAACACAGCTTAAGTTAAATGATGGGCAACAGACAAATAGAAGCAAGTTGGAACTCACCTGAACAGCAGTCTCAGTAAACAATTTTCCTTATAAATATGATGTCCACTCACAGTGTTAAAATACACTGGATTTAAATATTTTGAATGACCTAAGGCAACAACTATCATCCAATGTGACTTATAACTGGATCAAGTAACAGTACTGCGATGCACTGAACATTTAATAAACTATTATTGTCTTGGTACTAACCTCTTTCTATCCCTGCTTCTTGACCTCCGACCTCTACTTCTCGACCTTGACCTTCTTAAAGCACGGTCTCTTGATCGACTGCGAGATCTTTTCTTGTGCTTCGTCTTCTTCGACTTTTTATGCTTACTGGAGTATCTGCTGCTTCCACTGCTGGCCGATCTGTACACAAGCAGATGACGAATATATTACTCTATGGCCATTCATTGATCGAGCGATAAGAAATTAAACTGCCTTTGAAATGCATGCTAGTATGCTGGCCCTTGACTACAAAATTGGCTGAGGACAAGTAAGATTCGAGTGTCCATGTTGACAGTAGTCCTTACTGACAAGCAGTATATGAGTACCACAGTTCTCAACCAGTTCTCAATGCTTCATTTATGCTACAAATTTGGATTCAAGCTGGATTAGAAGTGAACTCCAAGCAACACTGAAAGGTGGTTTCCACTTGTAATCTGAGCAGGTCTTTTTTATTTTGTTTGTTGTTTCACACTGCACTCAGCAATATTCCAGCGATATCTGATTTACAGACAATCCAGTGATCAACAGCATAACCATCGACTTACTCAATTGATACAATGACATGTGTCAAACCAAGTCAGCGAGCCTGACCACCTGATCCCATTAGTCACCTCTTACAACAAGCATGGGTTTCTGAAGAGCAGTTCTAACCCGGATATTCATGGGTAAACCTGGTCCATTTTCTAAAATGGTGTAAACAAACTGCCTAGATTGAAACACTGAAAACTTGTGTCCAGTTCGGTATTTTATGTGTATGATTTTGTGAAATATTTTCGTGCATATTGCTGTTGAAAATGGGGTGTCATTGCTTAAATTTCACTGGTGAAATCACAACTTTTGTTTCTTGAAACTGCTTAATGTTTTCCTTCACTAAACTTCTTGAAACATAACCTTTGCTATAGCATTGATGTTCACTGTTACCTTTCTGAAAAACCCATATGAACTATTTCCTTCCCCAATTTTGTCACAGCACCACTCATCATCTTTACAATGGATATAATAAATACATTATTATTATCATTATTATTAAAACCAGCAGTGACGAGCCAGTGCAACATCCAGGGAACCTGGGTGGGTTTCATTTTCCCCCTAGACTTTAATGTTTATTGTATGGCTGCCCAACACAATATTTCAGAAGCCCACACAGTCTGACAAGTCCATGAGCAAACAAGAAATAATGATGATGATGATGATGATGACGATGATGATGAAGATATTGAGGATATACTCAACCTTGATCTGGACCTAGACTTTCTCCTCTTCTTTTTCTTTGATTTCTTCAGATCATAATCATCATCACTATCAGAATAACGTCCCATTTTTGCCAAGATAGCACCTGTTGAATATACTGGAACAATGAAATGGATATTAGGCTGCAAAACACCTGCCATGACAAACTGCATACATCACGAAGCAGACAACAATTCTTTCTGGAGGCTGGATATAGGAAGGCGTTTCCTATTCTTGCGGTACTTACGGATATCGGCTGAAAAAATAACATAAACAATTCTTATCGTATGAATGCTTGGCGTTATTAAATGAAGGGCCTTCTCCTCTAACATCTGCATCTATCAGCTGCCAGATCCATCAGGTGAATTACCACTCGTGAGCCCGGTGATAAACAATGCCATCCGCCATTGACGAAATGAGGCTTCTCCTATTCTCGTGGTATAACGAGGAATTAACGTTATTGAGTGTATGTAAGAGTCATCCTGCCGGAAAGGGCGGGAAAAAGTAATGATATGTCCAAGTTGGTATAAACTGCCCAATATTCGTGACACTGCAAGATTTTGATCATTCACCGACTTGGTCCACTTCCTAGTTACCAGTCGGTGATGTAAACAACCGCTAAGTGTCACGCATCGGCGATTTCGGCAGAAAACGTATTTACCGCGAGAATAGGAAACCCGCGAGAATAGGAGACGGACCTATACACTAAAGGAGATTAGTACCATTAACAGATTTCTATAAACTGTCACTATTGATCATGTTGATTATTACTAGGCTATTGAATTCACATGTGAAGTGCATCGAAATTTAAAAGTAATCATAACCCAATGATGTGTAGCCCCATAGAATTAGTGTTGGAGTCTGAAACAGGAATTGGGAAAGACTTCCGCCCGTATCCCCTTAAATTACCATTTTGCTTGTGTCTGTATGCACAATGTCATTATAACTTATGTTATGTCTTCTAGTCAAATCATATAACCAAATCATATTTTCCTCATCGTTAAAATTTAGGGGTGATACGGGCGGAAGTCATACCGAGTGAAGTTGACAGCCATGTGTTGATCCACATACCCAACACTCAGACACTGACAATCTTGGGCGGCATTATATGAATATATCCATTTATTTTTCCGTATTTATTTAATTATACTAGCAAAACTACGCTATAAACACATGTATTTCTTTAAAACATTACCAGAGGTGTGGTTTTACCTTGTTTTAATCGGTCCGCATATCTTTCCTCGTGCCTTCGTTTGTTGATACCCACTCGCAGAGTGTGTGCAATAGAGTTATCTCCCGTGGCGTCGCGGAACAAATTTAGAGTCGCTTATACCACAGCAAAGAGACTTTCCGAAGATTCCTTATCATTCACCAAAGGATCGTGTGATCATTGTAGCTGGAATGATAGAATGTAAGTTACATATGTTCCTTTGCTTGATATTACGGATGCTTTGGGAGAGTTGCTTTGCTATGATGTAAGCGATACTAAAGGTAGTATTTTTATGTCACAAATATGTCATCGTATCCCAATATTGCCTAGATCGATGCTCATGCAGTTGATCACTGGATTGTGTGGTCTAGACTTGATTATTTACAGACCGCCGTCATATAGCTGGAATATTGCTAAGTGCGGCGTGAAACTAAACCCACTCACTCATTCCATCTATCATTAAAAGACATGAATATTCTTGGATCATTGCACTGACAGTACCATGTGACGCCATGTTTGTTTAGACTGTGAAAAATCAGCATATGACCACTCTAATGTGCCTCAATATCCATATATGACCCCAACAGATACTGAAAATATCTGTTGACTTTATCTTGTTGCAAAAGCTATCCATTGTATGTTAAATTGATATCCTGGATGTTCTGATGATGCTGCAGTTCTACGTTAGGGACTGTGGCATGCACAGACATTCACACGTTCTGATCCGTGTTTCCCTAACTGTTTTTACGGCTTGCTCAACATCAAGGCTATATCCGTGTCAACTGGGACAAAGTTGAACAAGGTGTGAATCGTGCCAAGAAAGAACTACATAAAGAAGCCAACAAGCGGTATCCTGGGATTTTACAAAATGTAAGATAATTGTCATAGTACATGCAGACTCCTCCTCTCGGCATTGAAAGTTTTGTGGGTGTTGACGTGTAATATAAGACTTGTAGATGACTCAACATGTTCATTGATATATTGCATGGAGTTGATGTTCAAGGGTGGTCACACTCACATACTTGTTTACCAGTATTGAAGACAAGCTGATGCCCAGGGGATGCCCACGTTGAGGTTCTTTGACGTACAACCGGATATGTTTGTTGATACCTGTGACCTGTGTGTTTCTTAAAGTTTCGGTGCAGACTGTACGACATGTAATTAAGAAATGCAGTTCATTCTACCCACATGTATAGTGGAGCAAAGGATACTTTGGCCACCTGTGAAGATCCGGGTTAGAATTGGTCTTCAGCAACCCATGCTTTTAAGAGGCGACTAACAAGATCGGGTGGTCGGGCTCTTTTGACATGTGCCATCGCATCCCAATTGTGTAGATCAATGGTCATGTTGTTGATAACAAGATTGTCTGGTCAAGACTGGATTAATTACAGACCGCCACCTTATCGCTCAAATATTGCTGGGTGCGGCGTAAAACAATTAACTAACGACAACACTTTTGCCCAGATATACCATTGGGCTCACTGTGAAGCTCATGCCTGGTGTCCTCTGCCGTGATATACCATTGGGCACACTGTGAAGCCCATGCCTGGTGTCCTCTACCGTGAGATACCATTGGGCACACTGTTAAGCCCATGCCTGGTGTCCTCTGCAGTGATATACCATTGGGCTCACTGTGAAGCCCATGCCTGGTGTCCTCTGCAGTGAGATACCATTGGGCACACTGTGAAGCCCATACCTGGTGTCCTCTACCGTGATATACCATTGGGCTCACTGTGAAGCTCATCCCTGGTGTCCTCTACCGTGATATACCATTGGGCTCACTGTGAAGCCCATACCTGGTGTCCTCTGCAGTGATATACCATTGGCACACTGTGAAGCTCATGCCTGGTGTCCTCTACCGTGATATACCATTGGGCACACTGTGAAGCCCATGCCTTGTGTCCTCTGCAGTGATATACCATTGGGCTCACTGTGAAGCTCATGCCTGGTGTCCTCTGCAGTGAGATACCTTTGAGCACACTGTGAAGCCCATGCCTGGTGTCCTCTGCAGTGATATACCATTGGGCTCACTGTGAAGCCCATGCCTGGTGTCCTCTGCCGTGAGATACCATTGGGCACACTGTGAAGCCCATGCCTGGTGTCCTCTGCAGTGATATACCATTGGGCTCACTGTGAAGCCCATGCCTGGTGTCCTCTGCAGTGAGATACCATTGGGCACACTGTGAAGCCCATGCCTGGTGTCCTCTGCAGTGATATACCATTGGGCTCACTGTGAAGCTCATGCCTGGTGTCCTCTGCCGTGATATACCATTGGGCACACTGTGAAGCCCATGCCTGGTGTTCTCTGCCATGATATACCATTGGGCACACTGTGAAGCCCATGCCTGGTGTCTCCCGCCGTGATATACCATTGGGCACACTGTGAAGCCCGTGCCTGGTGTCCTCTGCAGTGATATACCATTGGGCACACTGTGAAGCCCGTGCCTGGTGTCCTCTGCAGTGATATACCATTGGGCACACTGTGAAGCCCATGCCTGGTGTCTCCCGCCGTGATATACCATTGGGCACACTGTGAAGCCCATGCCTGGTGTCCTCTGCCGTGATATACCATTGGGCACACTGTGAAGCCCATGCCTGGTGTCCTCTGCCGTGAGATACCATTGGGCACACTGTGAAGCTCATGCCTGGTGTCTCCCGCCGTGAGATACCATTGGGCACACCGTGAAGCCCATGCCTGGTGTCCTCTATTGTGATATACCATTGGGCACACTGTGAAGCCCATGCCTGGTGTCCTCTGCCGTGAGATACCATTGGGCACACTGTGAAGCCCATGCCTCATGTCTCCCGCAGTGAGATACCATTGGGCACACTGTGAAGCCCATGCCTTGTGTCCTCTGCAGTGATATACCATTGTGCACACTGTGAAGCCAATGACTGGTGTCCTCTGCCGTGATATACCATTGGGCACACTGTGAAGCCCATGCCTGGTGTCTCCCGCCGTGAGATACCATTGGGCACACTGTGAAGCCCATGCCTTGTGTCTCCCGCCGCGATATACCATTGGGCACACTGTGAAGCCCATGCCTGGTGTCTCCTGCAGTGAGATACCATTGGGCACACTGTGAAGCCCATGCCTTGTGTCTCCCGCCGTGATATACCATTGGGCACACTGTGAAGCCCAGACCTTGTGTCTCCCGCCGTGAGATACCATTGGGCACATTGTGAAGCCCATGCCTGGTGTCCTCTGCAGTGAGATACCATTGAGCACACTGTGAAGCCCATGCCTTGTGTCTCCCGCCGTGAGATACCATTGGGCACATTGTGAAGTCCATGCCTGGTGTCCTCTACCGTGATATACCATTGGGCTCACTGTGAAGCCCATGCCTGGTGTCCTCTGCCGTGAGATACCATTGGGCACACTGTGAAGCCCATGCCTGGTGTCTCCCGCCGTGAGATACCATTGGGCACACTGTGAAGCCCATGCCTGGTGTCTCCTGCCGTGATATTGCTGGAATAGTGCAAAGCGGCGAAAACCCAACTCACTCACTCACTGAACTACCGTAGTTAAAGATATATGTGACAGTAGGTATAGTGTCCGTATATTACACAAGTATCACACCTGTCTGTGTAATTACATCATGTGACATAGACCGAACTCGGGTGCACAAGCCATAAATCAATGCGTTATATGCCTGATAGGTGTTAAGTTCCAATTGCATGTGGTCAGTGATTGCAGTTGTGTATTGCATATTGTCATTAGCAGACAGGCAGGCAGACACATTTTCACTGCCCATGCGCCATGAGCGCAGTGCAGCGCAGCACAGCTGTTGAAACTACTTTTCACCCCAGCTGGGGTGAATTTAGTGAATGGTTTGAACTCAAATTTCGCGGTGTGTGTGTGTGTGTGTGTGTTTCATGACGTTATTTTTCAACTTTATAACTTTTTTTGCAATTTTTGATCATTTGTTTCTGCAAGTCCATATCGAAAGGTATCAGAATCTGCAAAGTTATGTTTTATGTTGCATATGACCTTTAACCAACTTTTATATATGTAGGACATAAATTCTGCTAAGAACTCACAGAGTTGGTCTGATGTTTTGATTATGATCATTGAGCATTATATGTTTATTAGTTTCCAGTAAGATTCTGATTCATCTATCCGCTTTTGAATGAAACCGACTATACCCATCTAATATTTTTAATAAAATGTTTCGCTGATAATATAAATGAAATACACAATACCAATTTTAGAAAGTGGTCAAATGTAACGTATGTTATATTTGGGATTACACTTTCTTAGTAAAGTACAGATTCTAGTACTTTTTTTTGGGTGGGGGTGGTTTTGAGTCATATCCGGACAGGCACCTAATCGCGAGCACACAAAGTCAGACACCGCGGCTTCCACAAAAATGGAAGTCTGACAACTGGTAGTCTAGACTGCAGACCTTGTGTACCCCTCTGATTAGGTGCCTGACTCTGAGGGTTTGGGTTCGAATCCCGGATAGGACTCAATCCCCCAAAAAGTACTAGAATCTGTACTTTACTAAGAAAGTGTAATCCCAAATATAACATATGTTACATTTGACCACTTTCTAAAATGGCATTGTGTATTTCATAGCTTTCGGCTGTGGGAGCTGTGCCGATTAACACTTATCAGAGGGGTACACAAAGTCCGCAGTCTAGAGTACCAGTTGTCCGACTTCCATTTTTATGAAAGCCGCGGTGGCTGAGCGGTCTAGGCGTCTCACTTTGTGTGCTGGCGATTAGGTGCCTGACTGATGGCGTGGGTTCAAATCCTGCATGGGACTCAATCCCCCCAAAAGTACTGGAATCTGTACTTTACTAAGAAAGTGTTATCCCAAATATAACAGGCGATAATATAAATGTTCTTTTGTATATTTCAGGCAAAGAAATTTTTGCAGCAGAATGTCTTGCTTGCTGGGTCCTTTGCTGGTGGCTTTCTGTTTGGCGTAGCTTTCTGAGTGACCTTGTAACTCTGTCCTTGCATGATGTGATGTGTGATACAGATGACAGTGTGTGATATTAACAGTGTGGTGCCTCAGTCTGATGGCCATGGGAATCATTTCCACAAAAACATTGGGCGTTCGAGATGGAATCCAAAGTTTTCTATCCTTGTCTCTCCAGATAAACACAGCCTGGAGTTCTAGTCATCAGACAAGATGTCTGTAGGCTTCTGACCAAACTATCAGACTGTTTATATTTTTTACTGTGTTTCCCATCTTCAAGAAAAGAAACGAAACAAATGGCCCTAAAAGGCTTCCGTATGTATAGACAAGCCTTTCAATATTTTGTGCATATAATTTAAACCTAAAAACTACCCATCATAAAATGTTTTTATTGTGTACCTTGAAAATAGGTTCTTAACTTTACCATGTGTTTGCTAATATACTTAAACATACTAGATATGATTTTGTCCAGTCATATGATTTTCACAGCTATTTTGTCCTTTACATGAAATGGAATCTGTGCCAGAGGATGGTCAAGTTGGGTATTGTACGGAAGCCTTTTAGGGCCATGCAGGTTCTTTTTCCTTTTTTTCTTGACATTTCAAGATGCTAAGTTGAATTTCAAGATTCATATCATATTGAAATTTTAAGAAAAAATTAAGAAAACGAATGGCCCTTGAAGGCATCCATAGTATTCTTTAGCACCAGCATTTTATATTTGCCTGTTCCAAAGTCATTGCTTTGACAACAGTAAACAATCCTATATGGGCAGAATATGATTGAAGCCAAACAAGATTTAGTTGTGGATAGATTGACCAGATACACCCTCAAAGAATTATTCTTTTTGTTTCAGTATTAGAATGTTTCTACTTTTGGTTGTGTCCTTTTGTACATACCCGGTATAATGTATGCTAACAAGACTCATGATATAATGGGGGCGGTGGGGTAGCATAGTGGTTAACGCGTTCACTCGTCACGCCAAAGACGCGGGTTCGATTCCCCACATGGGTACAATGTGTGAGGCCCATTTCTGGTGTCCCCAGCCGTGATATTGCTGGAATATTGCAAAAGCGGCGTAAAACTAAATTCACTCACTCACTCAGGATATAATGATAGACATTATGAATGTGACAGAATGGTTCAATGTTGGATGAACTTATTTTTTTCCAGGTTTCTTCACAAGCTATGCGATACAAAGCTTGTGAAGAAACCTGGGGAAAAATAAAGGAACACTTGTGCTTTGATGTGATCCGTTCTTTTTTTTCTCAGTCTATATTTGGGTTCTGCTGGCCATGTGACTAGTTTCTCTATCATGTTGGCTGTGTGAAATGCTCTTGTCCATCAGAAGTAACTTTAATACTGTTCTCTTGGTGGTACAACTCATCACGCTCTTATCTTGTCCTCGTCTGTTCTACAGACAGACCTTGAAGCAAATACAGTCAAACCCCATTTACTCGGACCCCTTATATCCGGAAACCCTGCCTTCTGGACGATTTTTAGGTGAACTGAAACTTACCTTCAGTAATTGTACTCGCTTAGCTTGACCCTGCGCTTCCGCACCCGGACGGAGAATTTTCAAACCATTCCTATAGATTTCCATTGAAAAATGATCCTGTTATCCGTAAGGAAAGATCTGTACGCACATGCAGGTCTGTGTGTCACGTCAGTACTGTTTACCGCATGGTAAATAGGGTTGAGTGTGTATATATTGTGTGTGTGCTTTTTTAAAAAGGCACTTTGCAATGTATTTCTGGTGTATCAGCTCTTCAGTGTAGTATGAAAGGGAAGTGGTCAAGATGTAGAATGTAGACCAGGTAACTCTGAACAGGTAATTGGTGACAGCTTATGGGACCACCTGAGTAACCTCCTAAAGGTTTAAAGATGGATCAGTTTGTGTGGAATGTATCATAGGTGACAATAACAAGTTGGTGTCAGTGTAAAGTTGAAATGTTGTTAGTGACGCAGATTTGTCTTTTGTGATGCTGAAGTTTCTCTCTATGTATGTGAACAGTACCTGTTAAGTATGGCAACACTGAAATTCATTTATATCACAGAATGTTTACTGCTGTTAATTGTAGATTTTAAAGCTCTGAACCTCCGTTGAAAATGACATAGATCGTGATGTAGCCATGCTCCAAGGCTGTACTGAGTGCTAAACCCATGTATGTATAGTAATTCTATCCTTTAAAGAGGCAAGTCTAGATAAGGGGACAGTACAAAGACCCCAGTCTGTTATTTGTAATGTTTTTATAAATTATCATTTAAACTATTCATTATTACCATAGAGACTTGTGCAAGTTTAATCATGATGAAAAGGAAAGTTTTATCAATATGCTTTGTTAAAGATCATCTGATTAATTAGGAAAAATCGACATTTATTTTGATAACACACATTTCCTTGGAGACTCATGCATGTTGATGCAGGCATCAAATTGGCTGTTTCAGGCAGAAGGCTGTTATTGAGATTTGAAACCACTGACTATCTAGTTTGTATTGTGTGTAGACCAAATCTGCAATAGAGAAAGTAAGGATAACTGGTTGCCGAACAGTTATCGCCATATTTTAACGTTATTTACAAATTTACTTCGCTGTTAGTTAAATTAATTAAACCAAATAAATTATGATACTTAATTAGCTATTCACCGATAAGTCTAGCCCGTTCACAGCCGCCGATCGTGTTTTTATATAACGCGGCGGTAGGGAATCTAAGAAGTGTTTTCTCACAACTAACTGTAACAGTTACCACCATTTCAGAATTTTTCATGTCATTCGTGAAATAATATATATATTTATGTCATAAAGTAGCCTCGAATAATTGATAGTGTGACTAATTGCATGTTTTTTTACAATAGACTGACAGGAAATGAAACAATTAATGACTGTTGTGAACTTGATCTTGCTATTATCTAGATCGTGTGGTTTTTTTATAGTGTTCATAACTTTATCTTTAATTTTCCCCTTATGTTACTTACCATGAAGGATTTTCTTTTGCTGACCTTTATTGTTGTCAAATACCGTAGGAAAAATACCTGAATTGTAATTGACTGGTTGTACTGTGTATGTCGCCATAGTATTCTTAGCCTCACCTCCAATGCCTCATTTTGGAAGGGGGACGGTGAGGTAGTCCAGTGGTTAAGGCATTTGCTCATCACGCCGAAGGCCTGGGTTTGATTCCCCACATGGATACAGTGTGTGAAGCCCATTTCCGGTGTCCCCTGCCATGACATTGCAGGAATATTGCTAAGAACGGCATAAAACTATACTCACTCACTCATTTTGGAAGGGATCTCACAGTCACTCCTATCTTTTCTCAGAATTCATATTTATGAGTGTAATTTGAGATGTCTGTTGGAGGAGTCATGTTTTTTCCAACAGACATTATTGTAGTGAATAGGCAGCCGATAGTAGCAAAATTGAATGGAGACTTTACAGTGGCTAATTTAGGATGTATTTTATGTGTACTTTCAGTGTGACCATATTGTCAGTCGTGATAACACACTGAACTTATGGTAGGTTGTTGGTTCTGATTTTCATCTCAAACCATTTCTATGTTCATCAACTCTGTCCAAGTCAATTATGATATATTTTTAGCATGAATCAGCCATTCTGTTTCATCTGGAAACTCACGTAGAATCTCACATCTCAATCTGACCTTATATTGATTTAGGTTGAAAAAGTCTTAACAACATCTGATTGTGAAAACTATTGATAAAGTTTTATTGCCATATTTTAACATGAATATCCAGGGATATTTACATGTCATTAGTTAACAAAAAGAATGAAACATGGGCAAAGGGGTTAAGTTAAAGGTGAAGAAATGATTGGACTTAAGCATATAAACGAATCATAAAGTATTTCCTTTCGAGGCCCATTGTACTCAAATATTACTTGGGCTTGACAATTTGTTTCTTCCTGTTTGAATGTTGGGTGTTGTGATTAAACAGGTTCAACAGACGTTCATAGTGTATCACATAATTCACTAGGCTCTACACTTGCTAATGTCTTCTAGGTCCTGGAATGGATGCTTATTCATTCAGAGCACAAGGTATAACATGAAGTATTTTCAAAACTTGGAATTGACAAAATAAACCAGGAAATACCGGTATCTGTCAGAATCATGGGAAATAAGCCAAATTTCATCCTTTGAATAACTGAAAACATGTGTCAATGATGAAGAATATATTGTTTGTGGAATTCAGTGATGGAAGAACTTCCATCTACAGGAATTACTGTGCTTTAGGTTGGCAAGGTCCGCCCCCTATGTTATTCCTGTGTCATGTAAATGCTTTAGGTCAGCAAGGTCCGCCCCCTATGCTGTTACTGTGTCATGTAAATGCTTTGGGTTGGCAAGGTCCGCCCCCTATGTTATTCCTGTGTCATGTAAATGCTTTAGGTCAGCAAGGTCCGCCCCCTATGCTGTTCCTGTATCATGTAATTGCTTTGGGTTGGCAAGGTCCGCCCCCTATGCTGTTCCTGTATCATGTAAATGCTTTAGGTTGGCAAGGTCCACCCCCTATGCTGTTCCTGTATCATGTAATTGCTTTGGGTTGGCAAGGTCCGCCCCCTATGCTGTTCCTGTATCATGTAAATGCTTTAGGTCAGCAAGGTCCGCCCCCTATGCTGTTCCTGTGTAATGTAAATGCTTTAGGTTGGCAAGGTCCGCCCCCTATGCTGTTCCTGTATCATGTAAATGCTTAAGGTCAGCAAGGTCCGCCCCCTATGCTGTTCCTGTGTCATGTAAATGCTTTAGGTTGGCAAGGTCCGCCACCTATGCTGTTCCTGTATCATGTAGTTGCTTTAGGTTGGCAAGGTCCGCCCCCTATGTTATTCCTGTGTCATGTAAATGCTTTAGGTCAGCAAGGTCCGCCCCCTATGTTATTCCTGTGTCATGTAAATGCTTTGGGTTGGCAAGGTCCGCCCCCTATGTTATTCCTGTGTCATGTAAATGCTTTAGGTCAGCAAGGTCCGCCCCCTATGCTGTTCCTGTATCATGTAATTGCTTTGGGTTGGCAAGGTCCGCCCCCTATGCTGTTCCTGTATCATGTAAATGCTTTAGGTTGGCAAGGTCCACCCCCTATGCTGTTCCTGTATCATGTAATTGCTTTGGGTTGGCAAGGTCCGCCCCCTATGCTGTTCCTGTATCATGTAAATGCTTAAGGTCAGCAAGGTCCGCCCCCTATGCTGTTCCTGTGTCATGTAAATGCTTTAGGTTGGCAAGGTCCGCCACCTATGCTGTTCCTGTATCATGTAGTTGCTTTAGGTTGGCAAGGTCCGCCCCCTATGCTGTTCCTGTATCATGTAAATGCTTAAGGTCTGCAAGGTCCGCCCCCTATGTTATTCCTGTGTCACGTAAATGCTTTAGGTTGGCAAGGTCCGCCCCCTATGCTGTTCCTGTGTCATGTAAATGCTTTAGGTCAGCAAGGTCCGCCCCCTATGCTGTTCTTGTGTCATGTAAATGCTTT